TCGTACTTAAGGAAGGGGCACCGGCACGTCATGTTTGCACTCTGGGCCCCTGCCCGGGGTGTATGCGTTGTGGGAGTTACTGTAAGGTAGACCAGATGGACCATTCTATTGGGAGAACTGCTGATGCCAGTATTTTGGGGTCTTTTCTCTTGGGGGGCTCAGATTACCAGAGAAGGATGTTACAATCCTTCTCACAAACAAAAATTCCTGTTTTGCCTAGAGGGCAGCAATCCTGGGGCCAAGGGGAGGACCAGGGGTTTTATGGAAGGTAAAATGGCCCTCACAGATGCCCATGCCTTAATCCCTGGAATTTGTGAATATGTTTTTTTTTTTTTAAAGATCTTATTTATTTATTTGAGAGAGAGAGAGAGCAAGCATGAGTGGGAAGGGGGAGGCAGAAGGAGCAGACTCCCCGCTGAATAGGGAGCCCAAGGCAGGGCTCAATCCCAGGACCCCAGGATCATGACCTGAACCGAAGGCAGACCCTTAACCGACGGAGCCACTCAGGCACCCGCAGAATTTGTGACTATGTCATAAAGACAAAAGGAGCTTTACAGGTACAATGAAGGATTGTGGCCTGCTGCTGGCTCTGCGATGGGGAGGTTCCGGCTGCAGAGGGCGGCAGGAAAGCCGGCAGGAAAGCCGGCAGGAAAGCGGGACTTTGGTCCCAAAGCTGCAGTGAGCTTCCAGGAATGGGACTCCCCGCTGAGTCCACAGCCAGGAACACAGCCCCTCCCCACCCCAGGCAGGTGTCAGGCCGCCTCCCACCTCCCTCTGACTTCTGCAGGGGACCAGAAGATGTCACTTGGGCATAAGAATTACTTTGAGCTGGAGGCAAATGAGAATCGAGAATCGACAGAGGCAGAAAGATGCCGCCCCGGAGCTTCCTTTATCTGCCTAAAAGCAGAAACTTTGGAAACCTGGGATGGCCATGAGTCCCCTCTCGGGGGACATTTTGTACCAGGAAGGAAACAGAAAGTCAGCTCCCAGATGCACCTGCACCAACGGACCTTCGTCCTGGAGCTCCCCGGGGACCCTCACCGGTTCACGATCTGTGGCCCTTGGAAGCCCAAATCCCTGTTCCGTTGTCCTGCCACTTCTCCAGGGATGCACTCACGTCTGGTGAAAGCCCTGTGGGAGCCCAAGTCCCACCCGCTCCGCGGAGCTGCTCGCTGTGGGGCCTGCTACGTGCACGCGCATCGCGCACGCCCCCGTCCACCTCTGGTTGGTTTCCTCCTGGCGGTCTGACGTTCATCTTCTTTTCCGGCCTTCCAGCCAGAAAGCCTAGAAGGGTGGAAGGAAAAAGAACTTCCTTCACTACACTTAGCACACTGACGCCAGAGAGGAGGCCTCAGGGCCATGTTTGGGCCTCCCAGACCCTCCCCTCCAAAGCCCGAGGGACCCGAGGGGTGAGCAGGACAGAGGTCCCCATGGTGCCTGCATTCGGGGGGCAGGACCGGGCTGGGGGAGCCCGCTGGGGCGCTGCGTGATGGTGAGCCGGGTGTACCCGAGGGCACACAGTAGGCACTTTGGGGAGTGAGCGGGGCAGGGGCCTCGCCCATCCCCCCGAGCTGTGGGCCTTGCAGGGGACCCCTGAGGGGAGCCCATGCATTTCTTGGTTTCTGCCTGGTTTGAAGGATAAAGTGATGAGATCATCATCACCTGTCACAGACTCCTTGCCTCCAGCACCGGCTCTGAGGGCTCCTTCCCAGCAAAGTTGGCTCCTGGGGATAGGCCCGGAGGAGGGTCAGAGTCCGGCCACCCCAGGGCTGTGGGGGCGGTGCAGGGTCTGAGACCTGGGATCCTTGGGCCACGCTGAGGAATCTGGGACTCAGAGCAGAAAGGAGCCAGGAGGGTCTCAGCTGGGAAGACGGGAGCCATGTGAGGTTCCAGGGCCACTCCGCAGGGACTGAGCCGCTGCAGCGGGCTGGAGGAGGGGCGGGTGGCTGCGGCGACCTCCAGGACCTGGGGCTGGGGACACTCCGGAAGGAGGCTCTGCAGACCCACAGGCTGCCTGTGCGTAGAAGGTGCTGCCTGCATTCCTAGGGTTCCAGGGAGGGGTGTCCTGGGGGTTCCACAAGAACATCCAGAACCTAACTTGAATGCCTGGCAGTATTGGCCTGAGGCGGAGCCCCATGTGCCCGGCAAACCCACGCCGTCCCTAAGCATGGCCCGGGCTGTGTGCAGCTGCTGGGGGCACACCCCGAGGGACACCAGGACCCCGGGCTGGGGTGTGTGGTGCAGATGTAGGTGCAGCTGACCAGGCCGCGGGAGAGTCAGAGGGGGCCAGGGAGGAACTGGGGGTTAGGAGACTGGGTCATGTCTTTTGCAGGTGCCGGGACAGAGAATCAGGGCTTCGGGGCACAGCTGGGATACTCACCTGGGCCACCCCCGAAAACCCAGCTCAGGGGCTGTGGCCAGGTCCAAGAGCGGGACCAGCACAGAGGGAGGGGGAGGGAGATCAGGCGCTGGAAGCCTGTTTGCAAAACCAGCCTGTGTGGCTGGAGTCCGCTGGAGTCTGCTCCCGTGCCAGCCCTGTCTCCACCCGTCTGTCCATCCATCCATCTACGCCAGGCTGCTCTTACTTTAGGTGAGATGAATGAGCCGGGCAAGCAGAATGATAGGAACTACAAACAGAAGACAAAGGACCGAGAATGGAAGGAAGGGAGACAGCGAGTGAGCCTTCGTACGCGGATCACACGACAGAGCAAACAGGGACAGCTGAGCGGGCGACTGCAGGGTGTGGCAGGAGGGCTGGGGGAGGGCAGCTTGGCCCCGTCCCAAGTGCTGGAGGAGCTGCCCTGACACTGGGAGGCCACAGTCACCCCAGGTCCCACACCCGATGCCAGTGTGCCTGTGTCCTCATCTTGCCCCAGTGGCACAGTCCACCATGTGCCCTGTGCCTTGGGAGCCGGGTATGAGCAGGAAGAGGGCTGGAACACACCAGAATGGGGGTGGGGGTGGCAGCAATGGCCTGAAACTCCCATATGGGGAGTCTGTCTCCTGTCATCCTGCACATCACCCTCGGGGGCGGCGGGGAGGGACGGTTGGCCGGATACGTGCCAGGCACCGTTCTGGCACAGCGGGAATCAGGGACCAGGATGGAGCAGCAGCCTGCCCTGGGGAAGCTCTGTGTTCTAAGGGAGCTGGGAGGACAATGCCAGTGGCCTGGAAACACACAGAAGAGAGAGGGAGGTCTGGGAAAGGAGGGGGCAGCAGACTGCCCCTGGGAGATCAGGGTCATGGAGGTTACTTTAGAGAAGACTGCTCCTGGGGAAGGAGACTGGAAGATAAGGTCCTGGGGCACAGAAAGGGACACAGTGGGTTAGCAGGGGCAGTGCAGGGGGGAGGGTGAGGATCCCAGCTTGTGCTCTGGGACGGGCGGGGCCAGTGAGCAGACCCCAGGCTGCAGGGACCCCAGGCTCTGGGTGTGCGAGACTCTGGGTGCGCCTTGGGGGTGGTGCTGCTGGATTCCTGAGAGGGGCGGGGGGTCATATCTGACCACCAGGTTTCCAGGCTGAGCAGCTAGAAGGGTAGGAAGGGCGCAGTGGGCAGGGCAGGGCAGGGGTGCAGGGCTTACTCCTGCCAGCTGGCGGGGGTGGGGGGGCCTGAGCCCAGAGGCCAAGAGAGCTCAGGCTGCCTCCTCTTCCTCCTGGGGGCCTGGTGGTGGGAGGTAAAAGCCGGGGGAAGCCCTCTCCCCACTACACCAGCTACACAGGCCAACCGCTGTGTTCACGGCTGTGTACCTACTTCCCAACGGCTCTTCAAGGTGATCAAAAAATTCTGCATTTCCAAGGAGAATTTGTTCTGCTCAAGGCTGTGAAAATAAGCCCCGCCCCCTGACTTTCTCAGTTTCTCAGAAACATCATCTGGTCCTTACTGGCTTTGTTCCCAAGAACTGCAGCACAATAAACACCTTTTTTGAAAGTACCCAGCTTCACCCTTCAGCCCAGCCTGGGCCGGTTTCCACCAGACCCACCAAGTGGGGTAGCACCATTTCCTACAATCCATAGGTCCAAAACATGTTTTGTTAGAACAATTATTAACTAATATCCTTACTATATATGAAGCATTCACACTGATACTGAAACCAAACGAACACCAGGGCCCTGGATAAACAGGTCAGGACCACAAACACAAGTCACGTGCGTGCGCACACGCACCCCCACAGACAGTGGGGGGAGGGGGTGAGCCCCACAGCCAAAGGCACTGAGAGGTCTCCTCTGAACACCTGTGACAGTTGGGCCATCAAACCAGGTACAGGAAAGCCCAGAAAGGGTGCCCAGGTCAGGCTGGGGATGGGGCCCCTCCAGGCCTTTCCTTGGAAGCAAGTTCAGGGATGGGGAAACAGCCAGGCCATGTGGGCTGCAACCCCCTCCCCCCGAGATGGAATGAGCCAGGCCCCAGCCTGGAGTGGGGCTAACCCAGGGTGGGGATTTTTTAAGAGACACTGTTGTGGACTGCACTGTGTCCCCCCAAAATTCGTATGTCCAAGCCGTAATTCCCAGAGTGAGTGTATTTGGAGGTGGGTCTTTAAGGAGGTCCTTAAGGTTAAGAGAGGTGAGGCCCAGATTGTAGAGGGCTGGTGCCCTTGCGAGAGGAGAGGCTGCTGGAGGACAAAGCGGCGGCAGCCTTCCAGGAGCCAGGGGGAGAGACCTCTCCAGAAACCACCCCTGATGCCACCATGATCTTGGGACTTCCGGTGGGACCTTCAGCGGTGTGAGAAACTCCAGACGCTCTGTTGAGCGCCCCAGGACTGTGTCTCCTTGTCACAGCAGCACCTCGGGCGTGGAGGAGACCACTGTGCGCGTCCTCACTTTCAACAAGGACAACCCGCCTGCCACCTCCCGGGCTACAACATGACACCCAACATCCACTAGAAACAGGTGCATTCGTAGTTACGTCACGATTCAACTGTGCGCCCACGTTATACCAGGAGCCCTGCGTTACCAGATTCATTACAAAAGTTTTTGTAAAAAAGAAAAAAATAGGCAACACAATCTGCTGCAAGGGTTTATTATGTTTAGTCTACAAATTTGATCTTTTAAGAAAAATTCACAAAATATTCAGTGGAAACCACATTTCTGGTTCATCAAATTTCAAATATATTTTACTGTGCTGAACAATATATTCTAATGCTGTCTAAAACACAGCTAAATTATTTGTCTTTATTCATTTATACACATTCTGTAATTTTTTGAAAACCAAGATTAAGATAAAAAATATTAACAAAACTACCCAGTTACAACTACTCTTCTCCCATACACTGAAGTCTTTTCCATGGGTCTATCTTCCTCTTCATTTTGAACTCTGCGAGCTCTCTGTTTGTGAATGCACTCAGGGAATTCTCACCTCCCAGGTCCCATCGGTTCAAACAATACCATGTGGAAAGACTGATTCCCTTGGCAATGCAGAAGCTTAGGTTTGTTAAAAGTACTCACTGAAAATTATTTTTTAATTTATAGATCATACAAAATAAACATTTACAAAGGGACAGACGACTTTCAACATTATTTTGAAATCCCCTTAATATGCGTAAATATAAGTGAAGCAATCTGTCAAATTAGACATTTTTGGTCTTTTGTTTTTATTCTTTGCTTCTTTCTGAAGGAAATGCATGCTGTGCATTTTGTTTCTCCAGGTCCCTGGAGCATCGGCGGCTCGTGGGGCCCTCGGTCCCTAGGTCACTCAGCACCGAGACCCGAGACCCCCCGACCCCCACAAGGAAGGCTCTGTCCTCGGAGTGGGGAGAAGCCCTGGTCTCCAGGCCCTCCGGCTGCTGGAACTAGATTCCACAAAAATCAAGCAAGGATATGCACGCCTCTGCCCAAATGCGGGGCGTGTGCAGGAGGAAATGCACAATAGGAATTACAATAAAGCTTCTACTACATCAAAAATGAGAATTTCTCCAAAGAAATGCTAAAAATCAGTAATGCATATATACCATGTGACAAAGTAGCAAAACAATCTGCTGGTCCCAGCTGCGGTCTGCGATGTGGTCACTGGATCACAGAGGGAGGAGCTTCCCCGGGGAACAGGTATCAGCCGCGGGCGTATTAGGAGCCATAGCGATCCTGCCGGGAGAGAACCGAGGAGGGCGGATTCGCGCTGGGTGTCCTCGCAGGGAGCACACTACACGGCCTGGCTGGCTCGCGTTCCCCCACCCGCCACGGTAACTGGAAGCTTCGTGGCCCTGGCTTCCTGAGCCACAAGAGCACCCTTCCCCCACCTCTGAGTGGCATCTGCGGCTCCGCGCTGTGGGACGTGGGGGGAGTATCTGCGGGGTGAGCCCCTGGGAGGCAGGTGTCAGGGGAGGGCAGGGGCGCACACTGGAGCCTGAACCCTGAAATGCTGGCTCAGCCAAGCCGTCTCCCACGGAAGCCACTTGGCCTTGCACGTCTGCTTCTGCAGCCAGGAAATAAAGCTATGGGGGGTGACCTAGACCACGGGGATGACCTTCCACAAGCTACAGATGTCACCTGCTTGGAAGGACTGGCGTGGGCTCAGCGGACCTCAGGGACATGAAAGATCCTGGGGATTCTAACCCACGGTTATAAGGGCAGTGAGAAGAGCAAGAGCCGTCCCCACCCCCCACCCTGGGAAGCCCCTCCAGAGGCACCAGAGCCACATCCATTAGGTACTGCTGCCCCTGGTCAGGTTTTGGTGTTAATAATAGCATCCCGGAGCGGGGGGGGAGCTCCTGGGGGGCTCAGGGGGTTAAGCGTCTGCCTTTGGCTCGGGTCATGATCTCAGGGTGCTGGAATTGAGCCCCACATCAGGCTCTCTGCTCAGTGGGGCGTCTGCTTCTCCCTCTGCCCCTCCCCCCTGCTTGGGCACACATGTGCACTCTCTCTGTGTCAAATAAATAAAATCTTTAAAAAAAAACCAACCCAGGCGCCTGGGTGGCTCAGTGGGTTAAAGCCTCTGCCTTCGGCTCAGGTCATGATCCCAGGGTGCTGGGATCGAGCCCTGCATCGGGCTCTCTGCTCCGCGGGGAGCCTGCTTCCTCCTCTCTCTCTGCCTGCCTCTCTGCCTACTTGTGATCTCTGTCTGTCAAATAAATAAATAAAATCTTTAAAAAACAACCAAACAAAAAAAAACAACCCTAGGAAATGCTTGTAACAAAACATCATAGAAAGTGTCAAATCATATATACAATATAATCCCGTTTGAATTTTAAAAGGATATGGACAGGAATCTGAAACTAACATGAAATATACTAAAGCATTAACAGAAGTTTTCCTCATGAGGGGGGTAATAGGTCATTTTTATTTCCCTCTTACTATTTCTCTGTCCCAATAAAGGAAAGTAAGTCAGGATTACGACAACCCCTGTAACCGTTCCCCAAGGGTCACCAACCAGAAAATGTAAACAAGAATAAAACGAGTTTCTGGTGTTCACGACCGCCTGCGTCACTGTCGCACGCGTATCAGTGAAGACTATGAAATCGAATCTGCCGGCAGTTGAAGCGTGGCCCAAATCTCACTTTCGAAGCTTTGAGCCACCACCCCGCTCCACTCCCGTCGCCCCAGCGTCACCGACCTGAATGGAAGTCATGACTCCGTTAGCAAAGACCGAGAGCTTCCCAGCCACGGACCTCACTCCCTGCTTGAACTGGGCCATGTCGGGCGCCGTGGGCAGCACGTTTGCGAGGCTGTAGTTTCCTGCACACAGAGCAGATCCCACTGTCACTCTGCAGCTGCGACAGACAGCACGGCCACTGCCCCGGGCCCTCGATGACCTCAGGGAACGTGGGGTCCCCTCCCCTCCCACTGCCCACGAGCAGCGGTTGTGGTTATGGGCGAGGAAGCCTGCACTGGGGTCAGGACTTGGTGCCAGCCTCACCACGAACCAGCCACAAGACGCCACCTGAGAGGAGACGCAGTGCTGGGCCTTGTGGCCAACAGGGGTTCAAAGGTGGCCCTGCCACTTTAAAGCTGTGTGTCTGTGGAGAGCTTCCTCACCGTCTCTGGGTTCCTGGTCTCCCCCCGAGGGTGTTCAACACCAGATCCGACAGGTAAGTACTCGGTAAAGGGCGGATGGGCAGACATCTCTACTTCGCTTGTGCTTTCTGTGCAAGCCCCCTCCCTTCTTCCGGGGAGCCCCCGGGACTCCGGTCAGGGGGGTGGGCATGGGACCCAGGCCTGGCTGATCAGAGCCTTCCTGGGCCTTGTGATTCCCCAAGGGAGAGGAGCTGTCCGCTTGCTCCAGGGTCACCGGTGGGGCCAAGGCCCTGCTGCAGCCACCAAAGCCCTCACTCGCCAAGTGTGGGGGTGGGGAGAGGAAGCACGCCGCAGGACAGGAGGGAGGGTCCCCAGGGAGGCAAGCCAGAGCCTAAGTGTCTCCCTGAGGCTGTTCTGAGACTCTGAGCTGGAGCCCCGCTCACTGGGTAGAGCCAGACGCCCTGCCTTCCTTGCCGAGGCCACCGCGGCTGGGTTTCTCGGCATCCGCGTTGGGTACCCAACACAAGCAGAGGCGCTGTTTCCGCCGACGCAGGTGAAGAGCGTCAGTGTTATCACGATAAGGGGTGTGAACCCCAAGCTGACAAGCAGGCTCTCGTGGTGGGCCTTTGTCACGGCGGTGTCACGAGGAGCGGGAGGGGCCCGGGGGGCCCCAACCCTGCAGGTCCTCTGGGGAGCCACGCCCAGCGGCCCCACACCGCCCACGTGCACCCACCTGCCCCTTCAGCAACAGAAGCCAGTCCCCTTCCCAAGAACACACAGAAGGGATGAGTGTATTCTTCTGTAAGGACGCCGCCCGGAAGGGACGTTGTGTTAACCCACAGCACGGCTCCCGAGTCCACCATGCAGGGAGGGGGCCTTTGCTAATAACAGAGTGGAGGCCCAGCCCAGCCACTGGATCTCAGGTTCAAATCCCAGCCCAGCCATTAAAGCTGGGTCTTTAGAGCAAACAAGGAGCCAGCGTGAGATCCTGAGTACACAAGGGCCGGGTCCCAGCCGCGCCATCACCCGGCAAGGCCCCAGGGGGCTGGAAGGGTCTGGAGCAGGGGTTGCGGTGGGGACAGCAGGAGCACGTCCACCTACAGTTTCCAACTGGAGAAATGTGTGAGGAGGCGAGCGCAGCTGAGGCAGACGCTCTGGGCTATGACCCCTCCCTGACCACGTGCAGCCCGCAGGGGCCCTGACGTGACACCAGCTTCCCAGCGTCACTCTCCCACCCTTCCCCAGTTCTAACCCCACAAAAGGTGTGTCCAGGTGACAGAGTTCTGGTCACTGGTGTTAAGCTGAAGTGCCTTACAGGGCTGGGGCCTGCTGTTTCCTCGCCCTCTTCCTCCTTCCTGCTGCCTGGGATGCAGGTGTGATGCCTGGGGCTCGAGCGGCCATAATTGGCGTGAGGTGAGGTACAACGTGGAGGTCATGAGCAGTAAGGAGGAAAAGGGCCTGGCTCCGTGGCATCTGGGAACATCGTGCACGTCCCGAACTGTCCCCCAGAATCACACGTAAGAGAAACAAACTCGGGTCTGATTTAGCCTCTATTAACATGCACCTTCCTTCCTTCCTTCAACCTCACTAACGAGCTAAGCCCCCGGGAACGTAAGCAGCCTGCTAACTCCCAGAGCAGCTGCCAGGTCCCCGGCAAGGAGGTGCCTTACCACCCTCCGCCCGCGGCCCTGGGCTCGACTGGAGGTCTGCTGCGGGTGTGAAGCCTCCTTCCTCTGCGGGCGTCTGGGTGCCGTGTCCCCGCTGAGGGCTGCAGCACCGGCTAAGTGCTCGGCCGCACACGGGGCTCCAGGAAATGACAGCCCGAGCTGCTTCCTCAGGAAGAGGCTCCCCGACCCGGGGTCTAGGTCAGGTGCCCCATCTCGCTGCTATCCGTTCCCAAAATGGCCCCAGAGGGCTCCGTGCTAAGGACATCAACAAAAGACCCTCTTTTCCAGAGCTCACTGCCTTCAGAGGAAGGCGGACAATCAACTGACAACAATAGGAAGAGAGCGCGGCCACAGTCAGAGCCCGTCTTGGCATCTCTGCTGCGGAGCCTAAGCCCGTGGCAGGGGAGGGGATGCGTCTGAGTGTCCCCAGGAGGCTTCTGGACCAACTGGCTGTTGGGGGGTGGGCAGTTGCTGGGAAAGAGAGAAATGAAAGATGACGGACTCCCAGGATTCTGGCTCGAGCCACCAGAAGATGGCAAGAGGGGAAGAGGCCCTGGAGGGTCCAGGCCTGGGCAGAGGCCATCAGTGTGGAGGCCCCACGTCGAGTCCGGAAGGCCGGGGACACCAGCGAACACTTGCCCGCGCCACTGTGGGTCGGCAGGGGTCTGCCTGGCACAGCCGCTCGAGATGCAGGCTTGGGGGTGGCCCTCGACACAAGCTTCCAGAAGCCTCACAGCAGAGCAGGCGCAGGCGTGCACCGGCTCTCACAGCTCGGGCGGGCAGGGCAGCCCGTCACTGCTGCCCCGTGCCGGCCCCGCGACCTCACAGCTGCCGCAAAGTTTGTTCCTGGCTGTGCTGGAAGGGGCGCTGACACGGCCCCAGAGCACCCATGTGCTCCGCAGACCCCAGGGGCTTTCTCTGCGCCCGGCGTGCAGAGACGAGGTCGGACAGGTCCTGTCCCGGGTAAGGGGAGAGGGTCCTCGGAAGGCCTGGCTCCGGGGAGAGGACAGGGCGGTGCGCGCCACTCCGGGAAGGGCAGATGGGAGCCAGGCACCAGCCGGCGCTGGGTGGCAGAGCTGCACCCCAGCCAGGGGCAGGACTGGACCCCACTGTGACCAGGGTGAACTCTGAAAACCCAGCGGGAAGCAGGGACGGGCGGGAGGGCGGCTCTGTAGGGCCGGAGCGGGAGGAGTGCAAGGCAGTTCCCCGCTCCTCGAACAGTAAGGCTGCGGTGGAACATCATGTACCCATTTCCCCGGAACAGAGACGAACGGAGAGAAAGGAGGTCCTCGGTGACAGGACTGCCGAGTTTCGGAAGGAACAGAGCGCCGCGGGGGCACCGTTCGCGACCAGCCGAGCAGCCCCGTGGACGTCACCAACACTCTGGTCTGCCACCGAATCTGGGCTGGCAAGGCCACCACACATCTGTGACGCAGGACAAACATGGTCACCCACGGACCAGACAGAACCACCAGTGCTCGGAGATCTGCAGGCCCTGAAGAGGCCGCGTGCCTGGGCTCGGGGCCTGAGTGAGGAGGAAGTGGGGGGTGGCCAAGGCGCCCCGAGGGGACAGGAGCAAACACGCGGGAACCTGAAGGGCGCAAGGAGCCAGCGTGGAAGAACCACCCTGAGGGGACAGGCTTCTGCCCAGAGCCACTTCTGCTCCAGTGCTGCTCCCAAAGGGGCCTCTGCTGTCCTTCCACGCCCTCAGGAGCCGCCTCGCAAGTCAGCATGGTTGATGGCAGTCCCACGTCCCCCAGCTGACCCTGCTCTGGGTGTGACCACGGGGACCGACGCTGGGCCAGACGGGCTGTGGGTGCGAGCAGCTGTTTCTCATCTGGCCCTTTCAAGACCCTGAAAGGGAAATGCCCTCAGTAAACGTCAGGACTCCCGGGTTAACCACATCCCCAGGAAGCATTTTACTCCACCAGGAGGCCTTTCAGATCCGGACCTGTCCCCCCCACCACAGAGAAATTATAAAGGTTTATCAGGATCTACTCAAGGACACTGATGTGTCACAGACGGGAAAGCTTCCAACGTGAGCAACACAGAACAGTCCCTTAATCCAGCTTCTGCTGTTTGCTGAAACACACTCTAAACAAGAAGGAAATATTTAATAAGAGCTGTTCGATGCCCTTGCATTTGGGGAAGTTCCTGAAGGCAACTTTTAAGACGGGCTTGACGGAAGAGCCTCAGTGAGGGAGGCCAGGGTCGGAGCTGTGGGCTTGGACAAGGGAGAGAGGGCGGGGGGCCGGGGAGGGGAGGAGTCACCCTCCGTGGGCATGCCAGGGGGCACTCTCACCTTGACCGTGAGTTCCCAGGACGGAGTCTGTCTGGGACCCACACAAGGCCCAAACAATTAAAGGACCTTTGTTCTCTGAAAGGGGACAGGAAAGTAAACATAGGCCAACCACAATTTTCCTTCAACAATTGGAAAGGCTGTTTTCATCTGATCTCCAAATATTTTTTTTGCTTTTTTTTTTTTTTTTTTTTCCCCTAACAAACAATGTTTCAGGGCAAAACTTCCAACAACTTGAATTACAAAAACACACACAGCTGGGTGGGGGGCGATTTTCAACAGGTCGGGTTTTCTGGGCTGATCTGACTCCTGCCAGGGCTGTGAGGTGACCCAGAACAGGCCCACGGTGGGGGGGTGGTAAGTGGGGCTGCGGAGAGCTTCCCCTCCCGGAGGGCGCAGGGCCAGCACCCCTCTGCTGGGGCAGGCCGAGAAGGAAGTTGCCCGGACAAGAGGCCAGGATGCTGAGAGCCTTGAGGTCAGAACACAGGTCTGGGAGCCACCCCTGCCCCCACCCAGACTCAGTATAGAAAACAGCTCAGAAAGACCTGACAGAGAGCCCCACCCCACTGTGTGAGGCCGAGGTACAGCATTGAGCACCCCCACCCATCCCTGGGGTCAGCGGACTCTCCAGGCTGGGACGCTCCTTCCCACAGCCCCTGGCAGTCTGGCGCGCTCACTGTGCTCCGAGGGCCACGGGATCCTCTGACATCCCCACACCCCATCTCTGAAAGTCCCAGGCACTTGGGTCTGCCCTATGACCTTCTCTCTTGAGGCCGTTTCTCACTGGACTCAGAAAACAGCTGTTGTTGGTGGCTGCTCACGCTGGTCAGCTGTGCCCGCGGGCAGCTCCTCCAGGGCCGGGAACGAGGGAGTGCAGGTGGTCCTGGGCCTGGGAGATCCCCTCCCCTTGGGGTCCCCTGCTGAGCGAGTTCCTGAAATGACCCCAGAGGACACTGCTCCTTGACCCTTAGCTGTGACACAGGAGGGACACATAGCCTTCCCCTAGCCCTGCGGCCTGGCTGAGGCTTGGGGCGGGATCCAACACGGCTCAAGGACCCAGAGGTACAAGTGGAGAGTGGCACGTCCATGGTGGGCCCGGGCTCTGAGGGGCGCTCCCTGTGGCTCCCAGACTCTCCTCAAGGGGGTCCAGACCCTAAGAGGGATGGGGGAGACAGCAAGTTCCTCTCCACCTGTCTGTTCCCAAGGCCACATTCTGCCTTCCCTGGAAGACAGAGCCTGGTGCAGTCCCCTTTCTATCTGCTTCTGCCTCCTTCGGGCCCCGCGCCAGACCCCCACGTGACTGAAGCCTCGGCGTCACCTTGTGAGGGACATACTACCCAGCCACTTCGCAGAGGAGAATCGGAGGCTATAAGTGCCATGAAAGGCTCAAGGTCTCAGGCAGGGAGTGGCCAGTGATGCTAGGAGCCCAGAGCTGTCCCCCTACAAGGCCGCGATACCACACATCAGACACCACGTTCCCATTGGACTAGGAGACCCTGTTTTAGGAAGACTTGTCAGGCAACCTAGGGGATGCTGGTGAAATGTTGTGACCTGGTTTCCTGACACACAAAGCCTGGAATAACAGTAATTTCTGCTCTCACAGAGGAGGAAAAGCATCATAGAATAGTTGCTGATAATCTTGGAAAAGTACAAAGTTTGGGGCGCCTGGGTGGCTCAGTCATTAAGCCTCTGCCTTCGGCTCAGGTCACAACCCCAGGGTCCTGGGATCGAGCCCTGCATTGGGCTCCCTGCTTGGTGGGAAGCCTGCTTCTCCCTCTACCCCTCCCCCCTGCTTGTGTTCCCTCTCTTGCTGTCTCTCTCCTCTCGGTCAAACAAATAAATAAAATCCTCAAAAAAAAGAAAGAGAGAAAGAAAAGTACGAAGTTCTGTGCAAAGAAACGGCATTGGTGCCGTGGACACAGCGGCCACCAGGCTTGTGAGCCGTCCCCCCCGCCCCCCCGACTGCCCTGCGCCCCGTACCTGCTGACTGTTTCCTCTGCTCGTCGAACAGATCGGCTGAGCTTATGGAGGAACTCGCCGAAAGCCTTTCCAGCCGAGCCCTGGCCTCATACTGGAGAAGACAAGGAATAGGAAACGTTAGGTTCCAAATACCGTGAGCAATTATGCAAAAACCATCAGCTCGGAGCCGACATCTGAGCACTGCTGAGTACGAGGGGAAAGCGGAGAGCAAGGAGGACACGTCCGTCAGTGACGCGCCCCACCCAGAGCTCGGTGCAGGTGCGCCCACGTTAGAACAAAGCCTCAGGCCCCCTTGTTGCCGTAAGATCCCTCTGCTTGGCGAGACTCCTTAAGACGCAACAACCTGAAGGTAAGTATATCTACCCTCCAAAAACATGTCTACTTCCTTTAACTTCATTAATAATAATTTAAAAATTAAGTAAATTACATCTGCATTGAAAATTGCCGGAAATTTATTCCAAAGATAGGAAATGGATGTCTGTTCAAAATACTGAGAAAGGAATTAGAGAAACATGAGACCTGGTCCCTAACTGCCAGCTGTGCATCTGGCTGGGGCTGCCTGGGGGAGTGGTCAGGAAGACCTGGGTTCGAGTCCTGATGCCAGATCCCAGCGGCAGCGGCCTCTCGTAGCCCGAGTCCACCTCGCTCTGGGCCTATCACCTCTTGCCCCAATCCTCATGTCCCTGCTCGCTTCCTGCTCTGCGGGGCCCACACGCAAACTCTCTGGACGCTTACATCAGTTTGGGCTTGTCTTCCGAAGTACATATCTGACGATATGGCTTTGACATTCCCGAACTTCTTCTGAGCCTCATCTGTATTTCCAACTGGCTCGTAGTCTGGCTTACGGCGAGCAGTAGATCTACAATGAACAACAGCCAAAACAGGAGTGACGTCAGCAAGACAATGGAATAGAAATTTTTTTACCATCATCCCCCTATAGAACACCAATTTTGGCCATCGTCCACAGGCAAGAATGCCTTTATGGGTGTGTAGGGGAGCAGCAGACAGGTCCCAGCACACTGTTGGAGCAAACAATCCAAGATCAGACCCACTGAAGAGGGTAAGAGGAACAGTTTCGCTTTGCCTGGGTCACCACCCCCCTGCCCCCCCAGTGGAACAGCTCAGCACCACTGGAGATCCGCTTGGCCCACAGTATCTCCCACGGGGGGAGGTGGGAGGGTGGTAAGTGGGTGCCTGACTTCCCAGCTGTGTGGGACACTGCACAGAAGGCCTCTTCTTTCCCACCCTACCTGGAACACTGAGGTGATCTGCATGGCTTAGGGGCTGGGAGATGCCAGAAGCACAGCAGTACTCATCAGAGGCTGCGTGATGGACACTGGGGAGGGTATGTGCTACGGTGGGCGCTGTGAAGTGTGTAGGGCTGATGAATCACGAACCTGTATCCCTGAAACCAGTAATACATTATATGCTAATTTAATTAAAAAAAAAAGGAAAGGTCTGAGAAAGCTTCAGAATCCCTAGCATGTCTGCTGCTGAAGGCATCTGTCACCCCATGCCAGTCAGTAGAGACAGAAGGAGGTGACGCTTCTTCAAATGCAAAGACAGCAACGCAAGACCCCAAGGAGCATGAAAAATCAAGGAAACAAGATGCCACAGAGAGGACGCAATAACTGTCTGATAACCGGCCCCAAGGAATTGCCCGACACATTTCAAAGTAATTATTTTATTTTATTTTTTTTAAAAGATTTTATTTATTTATTTGACAGAGATCACAAGTAGACAGAGCAGCAGGCAGAGAGAGAGAGGGAAGCAGGCTCCCTGCTGAGCAGAGAACCCGATGCGGGACTCGATCCCAGGACCCTGAGATCATGACCTGAGCCGAAGGCAGCAGCTTAACCCACTGAGCCACCCAGGCGCCCTCAAAGTAATTATTTTAAGAAAGCTCAGCAACCTACAAGAACACACCCAAGTCGACAAAATCAGGAAAACAGTACACCAGCAAAACTAGCAGTTCAACATGGAGACAGAATCATAAAACTGAATCGGACAGAAGCTCTGGAGCTGAGAAATGCAACGGTGGATGTCAGTGGCAGACTTAACCCAGCAGAAGAAAGAATTTGTGAATCGAAGACAGGTCATTTAAAATTACCCCGGTAGGAGAAAAAAGAAAAAAGAATGAAAAGGGGAAGAAAACCTACGTGAATTATGGGACACCATATGAAAAAAATGTATGTATTATGGGAAAAGAGATAATACAATATGGGAGAATCAACTCCATCAAGAGAAGAGAGGGAGAAAAGGGCAAAAAGCTTATTTAAAGAAATAATGACTATATACTTCCCAAATCCGAAGATGTGGAAATTCAGGTACATGAAGCTCAAAGTCCCCAAAGAGATTCAACCCAAAGAGAGCTTCACTAAGACACATTTTAATAAAACTGTCAAAAATCAAAGACAAAAAGAAAGATAAATTCCACATGACTCCAGTGGAATCTAAAAGCAAAGAGAATAAGCAAACAAAAGGCAGATTCAGAACTAAAACAAAAACAAAAACAAAAAACAGAAAAAAAGAATTAAAACCAGAGAACAAATGACGATAACCAGACAGAAGGCGTAAGGGGGTGAGCGAAGCGGGTGAAAGGGAGATGCAGGTCTCCAGTTTCAAAATGCGTGAGTCACGGGAATAAAAAGCAGAGCATAAGGAAAAAAAAATATTTTGAAAGCTGTGAGAAAAAAAACTCTTCACGTACAATGGAATCCCTGTAGGGCCCCCAGCAGACTTCTCGGCAGAAAGCCAGCAGGCCAGGGGACAGTGGTATGACATACCCAAAGTGCTGGAACACCAACAAGAAAGGGCGTCCTGCTGGCCACCAGACCGGCATCCCAGAAATGCCGAAAGGAGTGGTGCGAGCTGAACTGATGAATGGTAACGAATAACCTAAGAACGTGAATGGAGGGGCGCCTGGGTGGCACAGTGGGTTGAGTGTCTGACTCATGATTTTGGCTCAGGTCATGATCTTGGGGTCGTGGGGTCAAGCCCCATGTCAGGCTCCACACTCAGCAGGGTGTCTGCTGGAGACTGTCTCCCTCTCCTTCTGCTCCTCCCTGCCTCAAAATAAATAATAAAATAAAATAAAACAAAATAAAATACAAAAACTGTAACAAGAGACAAAGGTCATTATGTAATAAGAAAGAGGTCAATTGGTCAGGAGGATAAAGCAACTGTAAGCACAGAGGGGCTCACGTAAATTTATGACACAAATACTAACAGATCTGAGGGGACCAAGAGCACTGCGATCATGGTAGAAGACGTCAGATCCCCACTTTCAGTAATGGACAGATCCGACCCAGACAGAAGATCAAGAAAAATTGGACTTGAACAATACTATAGACCAAATGGACAAACGGACATGTCCCAGACGTTCCATCTAATAGCAGCAGAATGCAGATTTTCAAGCGCACACACAGAACATTCTCCAGGACAAATCATGTATCAGGTCACAAAACACGTTTAAATCATATGCTAGATCTTAACAAGTCAAGACTGAAGTCCTATTAAGTGTCTTGCAACCATAATGGTTGACAGTAGAAATCAACAACCAGAGGAAACCTGGAAAATTCACAAATTAACAACACACTCCCGGACAACCAGTGGGGCAAAGAAGAAATCAAAAGGGCAATGAAAATCTCTTGAAACAAATGACAATGGAAACACAGCACACCAGAAAGTATGAAACACAGCAAAAGCAGTTCCAAGAAGTTAGTTTACGGCCAACGAGTATCTGAAAAGATGCTCCACATCACTCATCGTCAGGGAAATGCAAATCAGAACCACAAGTGAGACGAACGCTCACACGTGCTTGGACGGCAATTACCAGAAGAGCTGCGTACTGATGGGAAGTGGAGAAAAGGAACCCTGTGCACTGTTGGTGGGAATGAATGTAAATTAGCTCAGCCACAGAGACAACCGCACAGAGGTCCTTCTAAACACAGAACATAGAACTACCACTTAATCCAGCAATCCCACCTCTGGGCGTGAGCGAAGCAAACAACGTCAGGATCTCGAAATCTCCACCCTCCCAAGTTCACGGTAGCGTTATTCACGGTGACCAAGACACAGAAACAGTCTAAGTTTCTGTTGACGGATGAACGGATAAGAAAATACATATACAATGGAACACTACTCGGCCGTTAAAAAAAGGGAATCCTGCCATTTGTGACAACATGGATGAACCTGGAGGACATTGTGCTAAGTGAAATAAATATAATAAGAGAAAGAAAAATACTGTACAATTTCATTTCTATTTGGAACCTAAAATTTAAAAAAAAGTCAGGGCACCTGGGTGGCTCCGTTGGTTTAGTGTCTGCCTTCAGCTCGGGTCATGACCTTGGGGTCCTGGGACTGAGTCCTAGCTAGGGCTCCCTGCTCAGTGGGGAATCTGCTTCTCTCTCTGCCCTTCCTCCCCCACCCCTGCCTGCTTGTGCTCTCTCTTTCTCTTTCTCTCAAATAAATAAAATCTTTTTAAAAAAGTCAAATTCGGGGCGCCTGGGTGGCTCAGTGGGTTAAAGCCTCTGCCTTCAGCTTGGGTCATGATTTCACGGTTCTGGGATCGAGCCTCGCATCGGGTTCTCTGCTTGGCGGGGAGCCTGCTTCCCCCTCTCTCTCTGCCTGCCCCTCTGTCTACTTGTGATCTCTGTCAAATAAATAAATAAAGTCAAACTCACAGAAACAGAGAGTAGAAAAGTGTTTCCTGTGGGCTTGGAGGTAGGGGAAATGGGCAGATATTCAGAGTACAAACTTGCATTTACAAGAGGAACACATTCTGGGGATGGAAAGGACAGTACGGGGGGCTGCAGTAAATAATACTGTTGTATATACTTGGGATTCGCTAAAAGTATGGATCCTAATGTGTTCTCAGCACACAAAATGAAAACAAACAAAAAAATCCAGACCAAATAGGTTAAACTAATTTGAGGTGAGGCAAATGCATTTCTCATTTATAATGCATTATCAATGCCATTGTACTTTTTAAAAAGCTGACAGTGGTCATTTTGTAAAAGGATTTCAGGCCACTTTAAAAAGTCTGAAAATTCTAATAAAAACATGAATAAATATCCAAAGCACCCAACATCTGAAGGAATTTTCCTATTTAAACAGCCCAGTCATCTCACTCGTTGGCACCATAGATCCATCAGTAAACACTGAGCACACGGTAATGAACGTTAGCTGTGACCCCACATCACGCAGGACACCAAAGGAGAATCCTCCTGCCACCCAGCACACGCCCAGGCTGCACCTCTTATCCCAACCCTCGTCATGTCTCCCTGCACTCTCAACAGCTCCCTGGTTTGGACAGGAGGTTAAAAAGTCTTTCATTCATAATCACGAACAACTGGAGATAGTCCTTCGGCAGGTGAATGGAGAAACGACTCAACAGAGAAGAGGAAGACACACAACGTCATGACCAGAGTTCTCAAATGCACTAGGAAAAGTAAAAAAGGCCCGTCTACAAGGCCAGTTACTGTATGATTCCATTTATAGGACATTCTGGAAAGGCAAGATTGGAAAGGCAGAAAAAAGACCAGGATGCAAAGAATATTCTTGCAATTGTTGAATAAAATCATTGACTAATTTTTAGAGAATTTCCCTAGAGATGTGTGGCCTCACAAGTTCCAATCCCTCTGCTTTGTGTTCATACCTGTCCGAATAGCCTGTGGTCTTCAGGACGGCGTCAGCATCTTTGATGGTCTCTTTTTTCCAGTAGGAGTCTGAACTGTCGTCCCAGCTGGAAAAAGAGCTGCTTCGGAACTCCACTGGCTCATCCAAGTACCTGTATGTAACAGAGTGACAGTGACTTGGGAGACCTTCCTGATGTTGTCCACACTGTACTTCCTGGTCCTTGAATGTGGGAGCGGCCACGTGACTAGAGCTGACCATTGAGGCAGGAGCAGGTATGAGGAGAGCCATTTCCCAGGCCTCTGAAGTGCCCAGTGCCCCCTTCCCACGCCCCATGGAAGACAAGGTGGTGTTTTTCAGGTGCTATATATCCTCAGGCAGGAGAAGACTCCATCCATCAGGAAAACCAAAGTGCCACCCAAAGGCCAGGTAATCTGGACAACCACCTGTACCTTCAGCTGAATAAGAAGTAAACCACCATTGTGTCAGCCTTTAAGATGGGGGATAGTTGTCACTGCAGCAAAACCTAGCCCATCCGCTAGCACACGACGGCTCTGAGTGTCTTTACCCACGGGAGGTGACTTATTTTGCTATCTTTGCTTCTAGTTCTGCCTAATTAGGTAGTCACAACAAAAATCCCACCAAAGCACTAGGGCCTTGTTGGCACTCCCTGCTGTGGTAGCCCCCGTGGAAGCCATCAGTCCCAACAACTCCCAATCACTTCAGGTAAGTGATGCTCCCCGGCCCCCTCCTCGGGTCAGACACACGGCTCTGGACGGCCGATCCCTGGACCACTCTGCAGCCTGGAGCTTGGAGCAAACTTGGTCTGTAAGATGCCGGCCTTCTAGATCAGTTTACCCTCTCATTAGCCGGGCATCACGGAGCAGGGCCTTGCTCCGAGAGCAAAACTCAATGGCAGCTTTGGTCCTGTGTGGTGACCGCGCACTCTCTGACCACGAGCAGCAGGGTTTGTCTGGAACACGGCAGAGACGGATGGGGGAGGAGGACGTGCCAGGGCTCCTCAGAACTCACAACAGCCTGGGATGGAAAACAGCTCTGCCAGATATGTGCCCCTTTTTAAAGGTGGGGTTCAAGACGTTCGGAAGGGGCTGATTCCAAGGCTTAGGTCCTGAGAAAGGAAGGATGATGCAAGAGGCTGTCCAGGCTTTCAAAAATGTCACCCAGGCTTTCTGCAGAGTAAGGAAAGCAGCTCACGGGATACGCAGTGAGCACCAAGCTCTGACGTCCTAAGAAGTCCCACAGAGATGGAAAGCCCGGGCGGCCAGAGGGGCGTGTAATCAAAGGGGGCAGCAGGAACTTTCAAGAACAGACAGGCCAAGGGCCCAGATGAGCTAAGGTTTTTGGGGTGGGAATGTTGAGAACAAATATCCTCTTCTTGGTTAAAAAACAAAAGCAAGAAGGGATAAACTTGCTGTTTGAAGCAGATGGTGTGTGACTTTACATGGATAATAGAAAGAAAGCGGAATTTCCTAAAGTGGCTTCTGCCTTCTCTAGCGAGGGGGTCATTAAGAGCAAATCTCGTTACATTGGCCTTGTCTCCCCAGGAAGGCGGATGGAGGTTCAGAGCAGATCTGCATGTCAGCGGGGAACGGGCCTGGCTCTCTCCGTGAGCCCAGAGCCCTGCACTCTCCCTTTTTGAGAGGAGACTCGGATAGAGTCTTCAAGTGGTTCAGAGAAATAGGGCTTCCAAAATGTGGGAGGCACATGGGACTGGAAAGTCATCTTCAATTATCTGAGAGACTTATTTGTAAGGGCCCAAGCAAAAGGATTAAGACCGAGTCAATGAGAAACTTAAAAAGTACTTAGTAAGCATCCATGAGGGGCTGGTACTCTGCTGGACAAGGACGCAGGGCGAGGACACATGTCCAGTCCTTGCCCTCTGGACCGGCTGATTTAAGCTCACAAACCCAGGGAGGTGTGGAAGTAGAGGCATCGTTCCTCAGGGAGCTGCCCCTGGACTGAACGGCTACCTTGAGGATGAGGGGGAGTGGGGGGTGATGGGGCCGTAGGGTCCCCTGGAGGATGCTGGGGGCGGGGCAGGGCAGGAAGCACTGGACAGGGTGTGGTTGGGACTTCCAGACTCCTCACAACTCTGAGCGGCTGGGATTTAGGATTTTGTAGATTTAGTTGTCACTCCAAGGAAATAGTCTTCGTTCCCATAAGCCAAAGTGCTTATCTTGGAATTTAAGGGCATCAGTTTTTCAATGACTGGACTGCTGAAGATTCAGGAGAGAGCGAGCCATTCTGCTGGGCTCCTACTGATCAGCAGGAACACCGTGCAGCGTTCCGGGTGCTGGGACAGCTAGGCGTGGGGGTGAGCTCTCCATGCGTGGACAGATGCGAGAGGCGTGCGGCACCCCTTGGGGGCACAGTTGGCTGGCCCACCAGGCCACAGGTCCACTGGAAGAAGGGCTGACTGACGACCGGGGCTGTGGGACACTTGCCTGGCCTCAGAAACACAATAGCCGTCCCCGATTTCCAAATCTTTATTGATTTTCTAATTCTCATTCCTAGATCCTGGTTCTCAATTCTTGTCACTCGTATTTTTGCTTTCATGCTTGGTCCGCATCCAACCCTAAAGACGCGGTTACGACCCCTTGATAAAAGCACCCCAACAGCAGCATGTATGCGATATGTCGCTGGGACGACTGTCTATCCCGGCGAAGGCCGCACCGGCTGCACGGGGCTGAGCAAATTGCTCTCGTGTAGTTAGTTTGTACTCAGTGTATAATTATGCTGTTTAGATCCTGAATGTAATGGAACTCGATTTAAAAAAGCCCAAAGATACGGTGGATCTTATTTTTAATAGAAACAGCACTCTTTCATAATTCATAACGTCCAAGTTCTAATGGGCTAATGAATAATTTGGAAGCAGTGCGAGCTCTTCGCGGAGCTCAGACGCTGGCTCTCCCGGGGGCCGTGTCTGCTTTCCCTCAGCTGCTGGAGAACTAACAGTGTCCTTGTTCCACCAGCAGTGTTACGACAGAGCAGGGCCGGAAAAGGCACCCCTGCTCCTGGGACACAACCCGCAGGGGAGGACCCCGCACCCCGGTGTCTCTGGCGGGAGCCCACCAAGTGTGGTGCGTGTGGCAACACCTACTCCCACGTTTCAAATCATAATTACTGCACAGAGCAAAGGCCTTAGGACCAACTCTCTAAGCTTCTGGAGAAAGAGAAACCTACACGATTCCTGAGGCTCCTGACAAAGGCAGAAAAAAAGTCCCCCGGGAGCCAATCAGTGACCTGGAGCCAGTGACGTTCTCCAGAAGTTTCTCAGGCCCACCCCATGGATAACTTCACTGGCAGCCATCTGTTTGCAACTTCGCTGCCAAGCAGCAGGGCTGATTTCACTTGAAATTTCTTTACTCTTCTATGCTTCCGTGTGCACGAGGTGCTAAGCAGCAGTGAGAAGGTGTGGATAAGCCCGTGGGCCGTGGAACCCGCATCACTGAGAGTCTCCTCCGGCCGAGACCTGCTCGCTCATTTAAGGAGAGAATCTGAAATGTGCTGGCGTGCGAGCAGCTCCCAAATCAGGTTAGAAATCGAGTTTGATCCTGTAGAAAATGTACTTAAAAACGTTTAAAAGGCATGCTTTGGGAGTGACCTCTGAGGAAACCAAAACCTGGTGTGTTGTCCAGGCTACCCTCGGCGGGAAAGAGAAAACCGCCCGTCTCTGACGACACTGACGGAACACCACTGAACACTTGTTTTTTTGGGTAAGACATCCGGACTTGAAATAATGGGAAGCTACATGAGAAGGCTAAGACTAGTCTTGGAACTTTGAAAACTACATCTCACCACCGGCCTGTGGTTCAGTGAACGGCGTCTGTACGCGCGACACGTGTCAGGGGTACTGTCCACTTTACACGCAGGAAAACACCTGAAGCCTACACAACCGCCAGACGACAGCAATGCCCTCCCAGGCATGAGGGACGGAGCCCGTTACTGACAGACACACCCTCGGTTTTCCTGGACTCCAAACCTGAAGGACGCCCTTGATGTGGGTAAGCATCTAACAACAGGGATTAAACATTCGGACTGGGCCGCAGGCCCCTCAAACTGAGTGTCTGTACCATAACAGCAGCCAAACATAATACGAGCAACAGTCGAGCACTGTTCCAAATGCTCCATTTGGATGAACTCATGTACCCACCCCCGCACCGTGCGTGGCAGATGCCAGTATCCCTAACTTACAGATGAGGAAGCTGCAGCACAGAGAGGCTGCGTAACTTGAACAAGGTCACACAGTCACTAAATGGCCCAGTCAGGATTTGAACCCAGGCCGTCAGCGCCGGGGCCTACGGTCTTATCGCTGTGCCCTCCCGGCTGGCGCCCACCTCCGGTTAACAGCCCACGTGCCTGTGGCTCTTTTTAAAGCAGGACTCCCCTGTGCTGATCAGGTTCTCGAAAGAACCTCAGAGAGTCGGTTCAAGTTTAAACTTGTCCTCCCTGCCCCCTCAGGCTCCTGAACGCGAACCACAGCACTCAGCCACGGTCGGCTTCACACTGGAGTCAGGCAACTTGTCCCACCTGACGGCGAACACTGACACACCGGAAGCCAGCTCAGCCCGGGAGCCATCAGCACACCAGCGTCTTCCATGAATTGAGGCGCACACGCTAGTGTTGACTTAATATTCCATCCCGCCCACTGGAGGCTCCGGAAGCAGGTATCCCAAGATGAAAGGATCTGGACATCTGGGATCTTCCTTTATTTCTCCAATTTCACACTTAGAGAAACATAAATTCCTACCTCTAAATTTAACTCTTGGTCGATGATTTTTATTATCGAACACCTTAATATTAGCAAGCATGGAGTGAAAGCCTCCCCAATTTTTTCCAAAGGACACCCTTGACTCCAGCTAAAGCTTTTAAAAGCTGTGAAACAAAGGATTTGTATTTGCTCCTAACGCCAATAAGCGAGTAAGTCCTCGCTAACCACTGCTTTTCAAAACAACACTGTAAGGTGGATTTTAGCGGATTACCTTGAGCTGGAAGTGAAATATGAATCATCATTATCATCGCTGTACTTCTTTCTGGGTTTTGTTATGATTGGTGTTTCCTGTTCAATGGTCTGCATGTCTGACGTCACGGAATGTGAAATGCCACTTGAGGAAACAGAGAATAAAATGGGAAAAAGTTACATTCGTTCATGAAGACATTTGCGTTCACTGAAGAACGAACATTTTACCTTTTTTTTTTTTAATTTTAAAGATTTTATTCATTTGACAGACAGAGATCACAAGCAGGCAGAGAGGCAGGCAGAGAGGGAGGAGGAAGCAGGCTCCCTGCTGAGCAGAGAGCCCGATGCGGGGCTCGATTCCAGGACCCCGAGACCATGACCCGAGCTGAAGGCAGAGGCTTTAACCCACTGAGCCACCCAGGCGCCCCATAGCCTCACACTCTATTGAAATTAGTTTTTCAGTGTTTCTTCCAATTACATAAATTCCTTGAAAGCAGAATTTTCTATTTTCTTTTTTAAAAGATTTTATTTATTTATTTGACAGAGAGAGAGATCACAAGTAGGCAGAGAGGCAGGCAGAGAGAGAGGGGGAAGCAGGCTCCCTGCTGAGCAGAGAGCCCGATGCGGGGCTCGATCCCAGGACCCCGAGATCATGACCCGGGCCGAAGGCAGAGGCTTTAACCCACTGAGCCACCCAGGCGCCCCAAGAACAAGCATTTTAATCTATACTCTCAACAAAAAAATGTATTAGTGGGATTCAAAACACGAGCAATAAAAATAGTACGTATATTTTTTGGCATCAGCATCAAAAAGCCTTAGTGAGGACCAGAACCTCATTACACAAAATAAGTCACACGTATCAGTTCTGTCTGTGGCATCTGCTCAGCGACGAGTCAGGCCTATTTCCTTTTCTTTGAAACTCAAATTTGGAATTTTTCATGCTATGTTGAGTATTAAGGGAAAAAGCTGAAAAAAGGAAGGAATCAAGAAAAAATACTTTTCAAGCTGACATTAATAAGGAAAAACCATTCGCGATCAGCAACCTGGTTTAATTCCTGGAAGCCACGTACCTTCTGCAGTTTCCAAATCCCATGCCGAGTCTCTCGGACTCTGTCTTTTTTTTGCCGCTCATGTTCACCTTCTCGTCCTTTTTCATTTGAATTTCGAGATCCTTGTAGGCTAATCGCAGTGATGACGCGCTGCCAGAGAAACCAAATGCTCCTTAATTTGGTTTTAATTCTGTGTTCTCGAGTTCAAACACTAAGCAAAATTAAACATGTCGCTTATAATTTGAGCTTCGTGCTTCTTTCCATAATTAATAATTAGGAAGGCAAATTGGCTTTGTTTCCCCCCAGGTCTTTTTTGAGTAGATGCTCAAGAAAATTTCAACGAGTTTACAGCCACTTTTTGGTTGCTGCTGGTCCTACCTTCCTGTTCTAGTTTATATCAGTTATCATCATATAATAACGGTTTGTACCACCTGCTGCATAATAACATAACATATACGGAAATTATGTTATATAGGATAGTAAAAAGCAGAATTCCTTATCTGGATTAATATTTCATTTATATTTCCACATTACAGAGCAAAAGGATAAGATGAGTCTCACTGGTTTGCTTGGTTTAAATACCCACTCACATTTGACTTTACAAATAGATAAATTAAGAAGGAGTTACTTAATTGCAAAAGGATTCTTCAGAGGATCTCTATATAATCAGGCTTCTGAGAGCATTTAAAACTGTGCTGCGAGTCAGACACTAATGATCTGTTTATCAAATGTCTGTTATGAATGTTGCACCAAAGGGGAAAGCACCTATCCCAGACTCCCAGAGTTCTAAAAATGTTATGAATACTTAATTTCTCATAAGGAAAACTATGCCTCTATCAGCAATAGCAGAACTATTTTATATTAGTAAGACAGCGACAGAATGTTGGGGTCCTGAAAAGTGATATACGTATTTTATCAGGAACTCTAAGCTATCATCCATTTTATAAAATTGTGTAAAATGTCATGGATTCCTCATAAGTCACGGTATAAATGCCATAATAATATAAATATATTTCTCTGTATTAACAGGGAATGACAATGGTATTTCTTACTAGAAAAACACAGTCAATAGAAAATAGGAAAAAAAAAAGAAAAAGAAAAAAAAAGAAAAAATGCGTCTGCTGTTTTCTTCCCTAGTAAGCCAGGCAGAATTTGTTTTGTTTTGACCTAGCAGTTTGCTCTCTTTACTATTATCCTACTGAACACACGGATTCTGGCAATGCACTAGGTTTTATCACTCAGAAAAGAAAAAATAGCTTTGAGTATACTTTTTGGAGGAAGACAACAGATTTGCTGAAAATCGTGAACAGATAAAACTGTTTCAACAGATTCTTCTGGAGAAGAGGAACGGATTGGGGGAAAGGTTTTCCTGGGGAGAGTGGAGATGGGAGCGCTTTCCTTCCGGGTCTGACATGGGACTGGGTTTCCTGCCCAGGAAAAGCACACACTTGACCGCCCAGGCTTCCTGTAACACGGGGCGGCAGCACTGATAGAATTAAGAAGTCAGGATTCCCTGCTTCCCAGTCCTGGCTCAAAGGAGGGCTTGCAGCCGCTCAGATCACACAAGGGAAGAAGCTCTGCCTCTTCCCATCGCACCCCCCCAACCAACAACTGTGCAGACTCCTGACGGTAAGCCCAGGAGCTGCGTGCCAGGAGGTGAGGACAGGCTAGTGCATGGCCAGTCGGAATTTCCCAGGCTGATGAGAGGAAATTGCGGCTCCTGACAGCTGAACTGAACTAACTACTCACGGCCATGAAAACATTAACTTGCAGAAGTTAACTTGCCTGTCGCATCTTAAGGATAAAGTGTGTGTTTCCTCGGGCTGGCACAGCCCTGCTTTGGTGGAACTGGGCTGCCCCGGGGCTGAGCGGGAGGGCACAGTGGTAGGGCTGTTCTGAATGGGGCCAAGGAAGCCGTCAAAGCAGGTTGCCAGGTCAAATCCATAAATACCCGGGCCCACATCTCTGCGTTCCTGCTGTACTTGACCGACCTAATGAAAGCTACCAGCTAAGGCTGCTGGCCTTCTAACATCACTGTGCTCATCTCCAGCCCCCTGCACTGCAGGGAGCGACGGGATCAGGCTCTGGATTTTATAGGCTCCAGGAAAACCAGGCACCAGCAATCCGCACACAGCTCGATCCCAAACACCAAGAGAAGCGGTCTAGAGCCTCAGATTTGGCCTCCCCAGGGTCAAGAACGTAGCTTACAGAAATTAAAGTGAGGTCCGTGACCGCTGGAAGCACATTTTGCAGAAAGCATTTCAAACCATATGTAGCCCAACGACGGTTTAGTGCTGCCCCCTACATTCTTTGAGTTAAATGACAAGGAGAAATATTATACTTTCTTTCTTTTTTTTTTTTTTTAAGATTTTATTTATTTATTTGACAGAGAGAGGGAGATCACAAGTAGGCAGAGAGGCGGGCAGAGAGAGAGGAAGGGAAGCAGACTCCCCGCCGAGCAGAGAGCCCGATGTGGGGCTCGATCCAAAGACGCTGAGATCATGACCTGAGCCCACTGAGCCACCCAGGTGCCCCTATACTTCAAATTCTCTGGGCTTAGCAACCAGAAAGTTCCTTCGCAAACTGTTAGTATGAATAGTAAGAAAGCGCACCGACTGGGCACGGACTCGGCCCCAGGCACTGTCTGATGCACTCTGATGAGCATTAACTAAGTTAATCCTCACAGCGTTAAACCTCATAAAATAAGCATTATTATTTTCTTCATTATGCAATCTACAGTAACTCAAGCCAAAACTGATAGAACACACATGAAAGGAAGAGGAAATACCATATAAATAAAATAAACACACATAAGAACTAGGAACCCAAGTTGCCTTTCCTTTCTGCGTTGTGCTCCCCCTGCTTCTCTCCCCACAGTCTTTTATACCCAGCACATGCCCTCTCCAGAGGGCCACTCGCTTCTGTTTCCAACACAAACAAAGCCTCTCAGAGCCTTCAGTGAATACTTCCAGCCATTCTCTGGACCGGCCTCCGGGCTTCCAGTTTCTGCCGCATTCTGTCTGTCCTGATCTCACTGCCAAACTCACCCTCCAAAATACACTCCCTCGTTCCAGTGCTCCTCTTAGATAAAATGTGAGCTGACTGGCCGGACTTCAAGGGACTCCATTATCATTCCAATTTCTGCAGTCCAGGCAGCCCCCCTCCCGGCAAAATTGAATGGCATCTGGAAAGCAAACCTCCGAGTTGTATGATTAATAGTTTTATTCACTAAAAACACACTAGTAGAAGCAAGTCAGACTTACATTGATTCTTCCTTAGGCGCCGCCCTGGCCAGAAGGTCTTCCTGTTCCTTCATTTTATCTACAGCCTGGGCTTGTTTTTCAATTTCATTAAAGCATGTATTCGCCACTTTCTGGGCTCCCAAACTTCCTTTTTTGGCCCCAAGCTAGAAGATATATAAAATTAGGTTCTACCCAAACTTTCGGAAAGCTTCGCAGCAACAGCTAACGTGGACTGAGGTCTATGACGCGCCAGGCACTGTGACCTGTGCTTTACAAGCATTCTCTCACTCAGTCCTCACGACCCTGTCAAGCAGGCCTCACCGTCAGCCCCAGTTCACAGATGAGCAGCTCAAGCTGAGGCAAGTTAAGTGGCTTGACCAAGATCACACAGCCACTAGGTGACAAAGTGGCTGCCTTGGCGCCTGCCTCCAGAATAGGGACCCTAAAGGGAATCACGGTCTCTGAAAGCTCGGAGGAAGACAACCCTCCAAGTCTCCAGTGATAGCATCGCTTACAGAAATGCAAATGCAACACACACTCCCACGGAGCCTCTGATGATTTTTTTTTTTTAATTTTGTCATCGAAGGAAAAATTTCTTTGAAAACTCATTCTAGAAAAACTTGACTACGTCCAACATTCATCTCATTGCACAAAGCATAGGTTCTTCATCAAAGCCACGTGTATGACACACAGTGTGGGGAGTGACAAAGGTGGCTGTCTCAGAGACGAGCTATTAGGTATTTACACATGATACTCACTCCTCTTTTGGCTTGATTTGGTTTCTTTTTTATGATAGAGGACACCTCTGCCAAAACATAAAAAACAGAAAGTAAGGCCAATTGAAATACATAATTTTTCTATTTTTAGTGTATCTGAAAAAAAAATATTAAGATACATATCATTATTTAAGAGACTGTAACATTTCCCAGAAGACTCGAGCATGAGTGTATTTTAGAGTAAGAGCTTGGTTAAATGGAATTTCTCAGTATTTCCAAGTAGTATCCAAACTCAGAGAAAACATTTTCTGCATACCATCCTGAAGAGAAATAAAGAGCCTGGCCTGGCCCCACACACTGCTTTCTTCAGGAACATTTCTTCTGTATATTAGAACAAACCCTCCTATTAAGATCTGCTCTTCAAAAACTTTTAGAATTACTTTAAAACATTAAGTTAGCCAGGCATTACGTATATAACTACAGCAGCGACGAGCTTTTTCACCTTGACTTATATACAGATTTTATCTATTAACCAATAAGAATTAAAAACCATTCTATTATTTCATACCAGTACTTTCTAAATTGCACAAAAATATATACTTTAGAGTTCCTTAAAAATTGTTTTATGGGTAAACTTTTTTTTTTTTTAAAGATTTTATTTATTTATTTGACAGACAGAGATCACAAGTAGGCAGAGAGGCAGGCAAAGAGAGAGAAAGGAGGAAGCAGGCTCCCTGCTGAGCAGAGAGCCCGATGTGGGGCTCAATCCCAGGACCCTGGGATCATGACCTGAGCCGAAGGCAGAGGCTTTAACCCACTGAGCCACCCAGGCGCCCCTGTTTTATGGGTAAACTTTAATCATAGACTATATATTCTATGTTTAAGAGACTCAGTAGGAATAAAATTTTAACTTTTTTCTGACAAAGACGAGAATGTATTTTAAGAGGAAAAGACAGCATAAAACCACAAACAACGAAAGATTCAAATTTAGCCCTAATATGAGAATTTAACACCATTACATTTCAAATATGAAAGAGGGATCTAGGGAAGTTTTTCTTTCCCTCGCCTCCTTTTGGATCCGTGTGGCAGTAGTCACATAATCTGCTCCCAACCTCCTACAAGGCCATTAACACCGGATGAAAATATCCAGAACATTTCTAATAGTTTAGCTATTTTTCACAAAAGTATTGCTTTCCAATTAATGCCATGTAATACGCACTAATATCAGAATAAAATTCCCTAATAATGCAATATTAAAGATCACTAAAATGAAATAGGAGAAGAAAATACTAGAGGAGTTCTTGAGTCAATGGGAATGATGGGGCTGCTCTGCCCTCCAGGATTTTTTGCTCGATAAAATCTTACTAATAGGGGGCGCCTGGGTGGCTCAGTGGGTTAAAGCCTCTGCCTTCAGCTCGGGTCGTGGTCTCAGGGTCCTGGGATCGAACCCCACGTCGAGCTCTCTGCTCGGCGGGGAGCCTCCTTCCTCTCTCTCTCTCTCTCTCTGCCTGCCTCTCTGCCTACTTGTGATCTCTCCCTGTCAAATAAATAAATAAAATATTAAAAAAAAAAATCTTACTAATAGATTAACGGTCATGATGCCGTATTAGACTACAAAGTCCTGGCAGAATGTAACGACAGGATTCATTTTTTGTCTTAATGAATCTCACTCTCGAAATCAGAATATAAGATTTCTTTTTTTAGGATTTTATTTATTTACTTGACAGAGATCACAAGTAGGCAGAGAGGCAGGCAGAGAAAAAGGGGGAAGCAGGCTCCCCGCTGAGCAGAGAGCCCCAGGCGGGGCTCGATCCCAGGACCCTGGGATCACGACCCGAGCTCAAAGCAGAGGCTTAACCCACTGAGCCACCCAGGCGCCCCTCGGAGTGAGAATATAGAGTCGTAGGCCTGTTACCTAAACCAGCCTTCGTTGGTGCATTAAGACCTTCCACACTCGGTCCTTGCTCTGGTCCACCTGAAAGTTAAATAGCTTGATATTAATACAGAAAATATACTCATCAAACACGTTTTTGAATATGTAACAAATTTTACCTTTTCAGTCACATATATCTTACCCAATTTTGCCAATGATTGTTTTTCTGTCTAGCTCCACATTCTATTTTATTATTATAATAATTTTGATTAAAAAAAAAGAATTTTGATTTAAAAGTCCGTTGAAATGGAAGTATGCTTTTTATCCGGTTGCTTTATAGGATAAAACTATTAGTGGTCTCTCTAAATTAATATTTGAAATTCTACCTTATGATCTGCTGTTTTAAAATATACTGTTCTGAGACACCTAGTATATATGTGGATTAAACACCCAATATATGTTAAAATTTGCAAATTCTTTTTTTTAAGATTTGATTTATTTATTTGAGATAGAGCGAGAGTGAGACAGAGAGAGCACAAGCAGGGGACACAGCAGGCAGAGGGGGAAGCAGACTCCCAGCTGAGCAGGGAGCCTGATGTGGGGACTCCAGGATCACGACCTGAGCTGAAGGCAGACGCTTAACCGAGGGAGCCACCCAGGCACCCCTACACTTGCAAATTCTAACACCAATCATATCAGTAATAGAAATCTAAATCTCCAGGTACCAGGAAATCTGCTGTTTCCTAGTTGCCTAAAAAATGATTCTGGGGGTGCCTGGGTAGCTCAGTGGATTAAACCTCTGCTGTCAGCTCGGGTTGTGATCTCAGGGTCCTGGGACTGAGCCCCGAATCGAATCGGGCTCTCTGCTCAGCGGGGAGCCTGCTTCCCCCTCTCTCTCTGCCTGCCTCTCTGCCTACTTGTGATCTCTCTCTCTGTGTCATATAAATAAATAAAATCTTAAAAAAAAATGATTCTGGTTAGGAAACTCTATTATGACTTCATTACAAAAAATTTTGTTATCTTAATTTTATCCCTTTAAAAAGGAATAAACAAGGGGCACCTGGGTGGCGTCTGCCTTCGGCTCAGGTGTGATCCCAGGGTCCTGGGATCGATTCCTGCATTGAGGGTCCCTGCTCAGCAGGCAGCCTGCTTCTCCCTCTCCCTCTGCCTGTCACTTCCCCTACTTGTGCTCTCTCTCTCTCTCTCTGTCAAGTAAATAAATAAAATCTGTAACAAAAAATGAATAAACAAAATGTAGTCTCTCCAGGCAACGGGTGATTGCTTGGTCAGAAAACAGAATGAGATAACAACACCGGCTGTGACGCGGACGGACCTTGAAAACAGGACACTAAGCTCAAGAAACTGGTCAAAGGAGACCCTGAGCCAAAATCAAGGGTTGGCCACTTAACCAAGTGAGCCACCCAGGAGCCCCTATAAATATTTAAAAGGTAAGCTTCAGTTAAGGCATTTAAGTAGGCAAAGCAGGACGAGTGAGAACAATAGCATTTTGTGGAAAAAGGACTGACTCCACATTTCTTGATTCCCTACCATGGGCCGGGAGCTGCCGGGCACCGGAAAAATACCAGGGAATAAGGACACTTAAGCAGAGGATGTCAGGACCCACATTCCACTGGCCAACATTCTTTTGATCTCCGGTTTTATTATGCAACCCTTAAGTTGACTCCAGACCGCACCCTGTCACCCCGCACCCTGTCACCCCGCGGCGACACAGGAAACTCTGGGCTCAGTCTGGGGAACCAAGAGCTGCTGGTGAGAGACTCTGGTTGGGGGAGAGAGGAGGAAGTGCCGTTGCAGGAGTGAGGGGGCATGGAATTCTAAAGAATAAAACCTTCAGGAGGAACACTTCAGCTAAGAATGTTGATTTAAAAAAAAAAAAGATTTTATTTATTTATTTGACAGAGAGAGACACAGTGACAGAGGGAACACAAGCAAGGGGAGGTGGGAGAGGGAGAAGCAGGCTTCCTGCTGAGCAGAGACCCCCCCCCCCATGCAGGAATGGTCCCAGGACCCTGGGATCATGACTTGAGCTGAAGGCACTTAACGACTGAGCCACCCAGATGCCTCAAGAATGTAGATTTTAATATATTTGCAAGAACAGGGGAGCCTGGGTACTCAGCTGGCTGAGCGTCCTACCCCTGGCTTCGGCTCAGATCGTGATCTCAGGGCTGTGAGATGGAGCGCCGAGTGGCATCGGGCTCTGCACTTGGCGGGCGGTCTGCTTGAGGGTTCCCTGTCTCCCTCGGCCCCTCCCTGCACTCGCGTGGCAAGCACGCACGTGCTCAAATAAAGAAATAAATCTTAAAAAGATAAAATATATACAAAATCTTGGGGCGCCTGGAGGACTCAGATCGTTAAGCGTCTGCTTTCCGCTCAGGTCATGATCTCCAGGTCCTGGGATCGAGCCCCACGTCAGGCTCCCTGCTCAGCGGGGAGTCTGCTTCTTCCTTTCCCTCTGCTGCTCCCCCTGCTTGTGCTCTCTCTGTCTCTCTCTCAAATAAATAAATAAACCTTGGGGGAAAAAAAAGAACAAAATCTTGTTCTGCATTTGGTTACCGTAGTTTCCCGTTAGGAAAACAGATGAGACACCTGGACTCCGGAGGGCAGAGGGGGGCCTCCGTGGCATGTGGGCTTAACCTCAAACGGCCTTTTATGCTAATTAGCTGTATTAAGAACAATATTCAAATTGTCACCTGTACTGTCTGGCAGGCACAAAGCCCGCATTTTCTCTGTGGTAGTCGGGAGAGTGCCAGGATTATTTTTTGTCTTCTGTCCTTAGGGAAAATGACAAAGCTATGGGCGGCTCAGGCAGATTCCTTATCTGCAGAAGCCGCCTCTCCTGGAGCAGCTCACGGGGCAGTGAGCTCACGGGGCACGGCCACTCTCAGAGCCAAGGTGTGCTGCGCTATGAGGGGGCCTGGACACATAAACGTGGTAGTGACCCGAGTGCCCGTGGGGTGGACAGGGCCTCGTTGAGGAGGACCCTCGAGCAGAGACTCCAGGAAGGAGGCAGCCTCATGGCAACCAGGGGAGACATGCCCACTGCAAGGACAACATAAAACAAACACAGGAAAGGACCCAAGGGCCAGTGCGGCCGCAGTATGGCGCAGGTCTAAGAAACTGAAAAGCGAAACGCCACTTGGAGATGAGTTCTTAGCAAGCATTTAGGGTCATATGCACAAACAATGAAATGTGCAAAAAAGCCACAGGTTGCAAATGCTACAAATCAGCAGCGTCACAGTGTTTTGCATATTAAGGAAACGAGCTTCTGTGTTCTGACTGCAAATATTTTTTTTTTTAAGATTTTATTTATTTATGGGATAGAGAGAGAGAGATCACAAGTAGGCAGAGAGGCAGGCAGAGAGAGAGATGGGAAGCAGGCTCCCTCTGACTGCAAATATTTATCACTTGTCTTTAAAGCATTTCTTCAGAACAGAAATGTTGTATTTGTAAAAGATTTGCTAATCTCTTCTCACGAGGCTTGCATATGCGTAGAAGGACTTCCCCCTCCCAGGGTGACAAGAAAAGCCTCACCCGTGTTTCTTTTAGTACCGTGTTTCTTTTAGTACCTCGTATTTTCATGTTTATGTTTAAATTTTTGATCTGACTGAATTTAGGATGATGTAAAGAGTAAAGAAGGAATTCTGCTTTATTGTTTTTTCCAAAACGCTCAACACTTGTCCCAGCTCCATTCACTGTTCCCCAGGAGGCAAAATGTTCCCCTCCTGGTTTGCTGATAGGTCGACTCCTAAGACCAGTAGTAACATTAAAAACAGTCATCCTAAAATCTGCTATTTGATGGCATCTCAGACGTTCCTACCCTTATACCTAGAATTCAATACCAATGAAGTGAGTTTTTCTTCCAGCATGCTCCCAATCCCACTCTCCCAGAGACCTGAATGACCACTTTTCTAGGACGCTCTTCTTGATAAATACTAGGTACTCGCCAACCCTCCGGCAAGACCCTTGCCAGAAAGTTTCTCAATAAGAATCTTGGTCATAGAGCTGGTTGAGTATTTGGTCCTTCCTATTACACGAGGTCCCCAAAAGTAGTTCCAGGCTCAGTATACCAGCCCACACTCCTGGCTCCAGAACCCAGGGGTTTCCTGCACAGTTGTGAAACAGAGCTGTTAATTCACACGAACTTTCTGGCTGACAAAAGTGTTCAGTCTTAGGACGGAAAAAGTTGATGTCTTGATCCTTGTTACTCTTATCACCTAAGTGATTTTCTAAAATGCAAGCAACTGATATAAGTATATCATTTATATATATAATCCCGGAGCGTCCGGGGGGGCTCAGTCAGTTGAGTGTTTGACGCTTGCTTCGGCTCAGGTCATGATCTCAGGGTCCTGGGATCGAGCCCTTTATCCGGCTCTGCTTGAGATTCTCTCTCTCCCTCTCCCTCTACCCCTCCTGCTCATGCTCTCTTGGTCTCTCTCTCACACGTAAATAAATGAAATCTTTAAAATAAAGAAATAAATTAATTAATGTTAAAAATCCCATAATAAAACCACAAAATGCAAGTCATTAGATACCAACTATTTACAGGATCGTTTTTAAAATTGAAATCTTGTTTTCTGAGTATGGCAGTAACATACACTCATCACAAAAGCTCACTCACGTCACAGCTGTATCAAGTTGAAGGTAAAAGTGATTCATTCAGTAATTTCGTTCTCCAGTTTACAATTTGGTATGTACCTTCTGGAATGTTTTCTGTGTGTGTATGTTTTTTTTCAGTTTTTTTTTTATAGAAGTGAGATCAGATTCCCTGTTCAGTAATTTTGTTTCCCCACTATATAATCTACCGGGGCAAGTTTCCTCATGAAATACAAGGATTTTATTTCCTTTCTTTCTTAGGTTGATTTATTTATTTTAGAGAGACAAAGGACACGAGCGGGAAGGGCAGAGGGAGAGGGAGAGAGAATCTCAGCAGATTCTGCACTGACTGTGGAGCCCGATGCGGGGCTCGATCTCATGACCCGGAGATCATGACCTGAGCCGAAACCAAGAGGCGGACGCTCAACTCACTGCACCACCCAGGCACCCCAAGGGTCTTATTTTCTAATAGTTCCATAGCAGCCATCAAACCAAAGGAGAGCATTACAGGACAGTCCTGAAGACTACCTTCGTTATGAGCCGGAGTGGTTTCCACGTCCCGAGGTGGCAAAGATGCTTCTGGCTGTGCTGAGGCCCACCCTGTGCCGCTCGCCGCCTGCAGCAAGGTGAGAAAAGTCAACAGTAAGCAAAGTAAGACAAGTCCGCGAAACAAAGTGGGGGGAAAAGCTAATAATTTAATAGTCACCTTCTAAGTACCCAGATTAGTGGGAAGGAAAGATAATATTTAAAAAATTAAAAATTAAAACATTTTTAAAAATCAAAATGTATTCTTTTTTAAAAAAGATTTATGTATTTATTATATATATAGAGAGAAAGCGTGCACATACAGAGGGAGGGGCAGAGGGAGAGAGAGAGACAGAACCTCAAGCAGTCTCCCCACCAGGCAAGAAGCCTGATGCGGGGCTCGATCCCATGACCCATGAGATCATGACCTAGCTGAAACCAAGAGTCAGGCACTTAACCGACTGAGCCACCCAGGTGCCCCGAGAGCACACTTATCTAGATGAGCACTGGGTAATTAATGTACAGAGTTGCTGAATCTTTACATTGTATATGTGAAACTAATGTAACACTATGTGTTAATGATACTTCAATTATGGTCACCAAATCATGGATAAACAGGTGGTGCCTGCTGGGCTTTTCTCTGGTGAAGTTACCACTTTCCCCTTCCCAACCCCTAGACTTGGGAAGCGAGTCACCAAGTGTGGCCTGCACTCAAGGGGAGGGGGCCTCCTGAAAGGCAGAGTGTCTACGCACACATGATTGATTCTTCTCTAGGGAAGATCGTCCCTTCTCTTCATTTATTTATTCAATCATCTATTTATATTAGTGTAGACGCGTGGATATTTATTTTATTCTTTGGATTATAATCCAAATGGTCATTATCTATTTTGTTGTTGAAACTGTTCCAGCTTTGACCACTGGGATCGCTTTCCAGTTGGTTCCTGAGTCCTTCAGACACACCCTCCTCTATCTCCCAGCCCCTCCACCCAGCACTTCCTTACTCTCGCGCACGCCAAGATGCTCCAGGCTCAGCTGCCCCAGCAGCCCCGGTCCTAGAGTCTGCCTTTTCTCCACCAGTAGCCCCAGTTCCTTGTGGCGCTTAGAAATCGAGAGGGGGTGTGGGTGTCTCAGGGCCTCCCGGTGGACAAGAGCCTGGTACTACATCTGTGTGTGTGCTCACCCAGGGACACACACATTTGTCATCAGTGCTCCACTGTGTGTCTGCATGTGTGCGTGTGCGCACGGAGAGACACGCTAGAACAAACGTGAGTTCATGCTAATATGAATTCCAGTGCTCGTCCACATCAGACGTTCCCCTCTCTCCTCCTTTTAGCCTGTCATTTACATGACAACACTTCCCAGCTACTACCACTGAGTACTCTCTCCCTGTCTCGTCTTAAACAGGCACTGCAGAATGTGACAGATTACCTCACCATTTCTTTTGGTTTCCTGTTGATAACTACTTCTAGTAACTACCAACTCTGTCAATGAACCTGTACGCGCACATTATAAGAACAAAAAAAAAATCAAGCGACAGCGATTTCATGTCTGTACTTGAAAACTGGTTCAAGAATGGGTTGCACAGCAGTTAAGTAACCGTGCGCCCTCCCCGGTGGGACTGGGAGGAGGGAGGGCAGTGAACAGACATCTGGGGCTCTAAGCCAGGCGCCTGCACACATTTCCCAAAAGGGCCACTCAGGAAATATTTTAGGCTGTGGAGGCCTTATGTTCCCCTCTTTGTGATGTGGGGGTGATTATCGTTGCTCCCATCAGACCACAACACCAAGACAATGGTTCTGGCCGCATTTACTGGAGGCTCACTCGGGGCCAGCTCCCAATTCCTCGCACCAGTCCTGACTTCATTCTTTTGTTTAAATAGGGAGCCTGATTCGGGGCTTGAACTCACAACCCTGAGACCAAGACCTGAGATGAGATCCAGACTTGGATACTTAACTGATGGAGACCCTCGGACACCCTACCCCTGGCTTCATTAGTATAAGAGCCTTGAGATACACTCTGTATACAGCTAAACTGGGACAGTGAGATTCAAGCCCCTATTAAAATGTGGATTTAGGGGTGACTGGGTGGCTCAGTCAGTTCAGCATCCAATTCTTGATTTTGGCTCAGGTCATGGTCTTAGGGCTATGAAACTGAGCCCCCATCATGCTCAACGCTCAGCACGGAGTCTGCTTGAGATTCTCTCTCCCTCTGCCCCTCCCCCACCCAGTCACATGCTCTTAATTAAATCTTAAAAAAAAAGTTTTGGGTACCTGGGGGGTGTGGCTCAGTTGATAGGATGTCTGCCTTCAGCTTGGGTCACAATCTTGGGGTCCTGGGATCGAGCCCCACGTTAGGCTCCTAGCTCAGCAGGAGCTCTGCTTCTCCTCTCTTTCTCTCTGCCCCTCCCCCACCCCTCATGCTCTCTTTCTGTCTCAAATAAGTAAATAAAAATTCTTAAAAAAAAAAAAGTTTTCATTCTTTGTCAGTTCCATAGTTCTCAACTGAACTGTGGCAGACTACTGGAAATGATTTCTCAGCCTCCCTGGCTCCTAGGTATCAATGTACAACTAAGTTCTGGCTATGAGGATGTGAGCGGAAGAGATGTGTGCCACGTCTACATTCTTTTAGTAGAAGGATGGGGCACTAGCTTTCCTAGATGCTTGCCCCACTCCCCCTGCTGCGAAAGGTCCTGAGCTGCAACAGACGCTTTGGACCCTGAGATGGAAGCCAACATGTGGAGAAGAGCCAAACAGATCCCTCCCTCGATTAGTCCTGCACAGCTGACTTCAGAACCACGGATGGAAATTAATTTCTATCTTGTTTAAGATAGAAATGTTTCAGGGTTATTATACAGCAGCTTAGCCTGTGTCCTAAGTGAGACATTTAAACACACACCCTTTATAAATGTGAGAGTAAGCATACTTTAAAATTCTATAAAAGATACTACATACCTCAGGAGAAGCATGAGAGGCAAAAAAATCTTCCTCTTTTGGTGGAGGGGTCGAAGGCGGAACCACGCAGCTATCCAGCCACAGCTAGAACATAGAGCACTGCTTAGCCCTTTCCCTGGCTTTAAAAGGTTTTATCTAATAGTCTCACTCCCTTTCTAGAGATCTGTTTGCTAAAGATCGGTACTTTCCACTCCTACACAGTCAGTAACAGTCCTCCAGCGCCCCTGAGCACATTTTAGTGATGTAGCAATCTAGTAATTTCTGCATCCAGTCCTTGAGGATGTCAAGTACCAGATTCACAAGCTGTTTCTGAATAGGAAAGATCGAGCGCTTAATTTCTAAGTGCGGGTTCCAAAGTGCGGTCAATCCTCATCAACAGTGGCTTCCATATTTGCAAATTCACCTTCTTGCCACAATTTCCTTGTAACCCCCAAATCAATGCTTGAGACATCTCTGTGGTCCTTTCACAGGTGTGCGAACCAGCAAAGAATTTGAGCCACCCAAGGTACCCATTCCCGGCTGAGATGGAGCAAGGTGATGCTCTGTCTTCCTGCTTTAGCTCTCCAACTGTAAATAATTGTCCTTTTTGAGGTCTATTTAATACCACATTTTGCACATTTTTGTTGGTGATTTCACTGTCTAGAATGGCCCCTAAGTCTAGTGCTAAATCCCACCTAGGCCTCCTAGCCACAGGGAGCCCATGATGTGCCTTACAGAGAAAATACAGTGTTAGGCAAGCTTCATTTAGGCCCAGGTCCTATACAGTCTGTGGGCAGCAAGTTCAATGTCCATGAGCCAATAATTATATATTAGTAATATATTAAATTGTATCTCTTATCTATCAACTATTATTATATCAATATAATTGATATAATAATAATAATATGTATTATTATAATCATATGTATAATAATGTATAATATGTATAATATATGTATATATATATTATATGTATATGTATATGTATAATAATAATCAATATGTATTTAGCTACATAATATACGCAATAAGGTGTCCTTAAGCAGAATCACACGTGAAATAAGGCCACGTATTTATCCGTTGATGGAAATGTCCTGACCAGAAGCCCTTGGGACCTCGCCCTCTAGCTCCCCTAGGAGTGATGCTCTGGCATTTCCTAACTCAGGACTCACAGCAACCTCGCAGCGCACAACTCCCACGAACAATGAGAATCAGCTATAGGTTGTGTCCTTGCAAGAGAATCCTGTCAGAAAGTTTTACTGTCTGGGATGGTTAAAATCACTTTTTCTACTGAAATATATGTCATCTGATCTGAAGAAGAAGATCCAACCCGCCGGTGACTTACGTCGGTGCCGTGCTTCCGTGTCGCCTGGGACGCTAGTGACTTGATTCTCTCCCGATAGAGCTGGGCAGCGCGACTGTTGTACTTGGCGTTGGTGTCACTGGTGGTACAGCCGTGCTGATGGAAAAAGGAAGACTGTGGAGGAAAACATACGGATTAGCAGCAATACTGCATTAAATTTAACACGTGACCGAAAACAGTACTTCCTGTCGGGAGGGATTTTTTGGGAAAATACTAGTGAAAACAAAAGTAATTGAGTCACATAATTTACAAAAATAATGTAAACCGCACAATCTAATACAAACTTTTTCTTGTAAAAGGAATGCCTTCCACACGTGCCATGTTAATATCTCAGTAAAGCCGGACACGAGACTCACTGGCCCTTTGTGCCTCTGTTAAAGGACCGCGATCGTTCTGATTATTTTGTTACGCTGGCGGACTCTCTCCACTCTGGACTGCTTTTAGGTCATGAGAAATTCATTTCCACTGGAATTCCACTAAGTGGAATCAGTTAGGAGCTACACTGACCTTCACCTTGTGCAGAACTCTCTCTTCACAGAGACTGCGGCATGAACAAGGCGGTAAAACAAAAGTTGAAACAACTAGAGGAGACTGTTCAACAAGCTCATAAGGGTCCAAACACGGACATGAATTACAGAATTCATATTGTAATTCAGGCAGGCGTTCTAAAAACCTGTATGAGCAACACAACTTGATTCATCAGATAAACCGAATTTGTAAATCAAGTTTTACAGATTTGAGGATCCTTATTTAGATCTGTAAAGGGGGTTAAGGAAGTCTGCTTTTGTAAAACTATAAGTTAATCGGACACTTAAAAAGTTTTTTTTTTTTATTTTACCCAGAAATTACTAAATTAAAAACGGGGATCGCGTTTGTCTTGCTTGTCACTATATCCCCGTGCCTAGCCCAGGGCTTCGTGTGGACTGGGTATTTCACAATGTGGGGAAAAACAAGTCACCAGGGCCACCCACTGCCAAGCGCCCCCAGCCTTTGCTAGCCAGTAGGGTCCCCAAGCTCGTACATGCAAACACCAAGCTTCCTTTCTAGGCTAACACGTATTTACACACGAAGCGAAGCGGCACATCTGCAGTGAGCTTACCGCGTTAGCATTTCCTCCAACCTGCATGCATCGCAGCTGAAACCAAGACCAGCTGGAGTCCAGCTCTGTAGATCTAGATGGAAAGAATATTTGCAAATGTTAACACATTTCGCCCCAGCATCCAGCCACTAAACCTTGAAAAGAAAGAGTTCTGTGATTTTGAGGATCCTGAAGACTTCTAAGTTTGTGGGAACAGTGACACGGGACGCTGGGCCTACATGGCACACGACAGCTGTGCCCGCAGCTCCTGGCCCCTCTCGCCCTTCCTAGCAGCCAGGTCTCCGGTGGGCCAGCCGCCGGCTCCCCTCCACACCTGACCACAGACAGGCCCGGCCCCACTAGCAGCACCCTGCGCCGCACGGACTCCAGCTTTAATCCTAGGGTGCAGGCACACGACAAGCTTCCCGGGGCCGGCAGAACCACTGACTCAGCCTCGCATCCTCAGTGGCTTCTGATCTAAAAATCGGTAACGTGTCTCTGCTCAAAATAGATGTTCCGGATTTTTCCGATCAGCTCTCCACTTGTCCAGTGTGACCCGTAACGGGAGTGTCTGGGGATGCTCACAGCCTTCTCACCCGGTGAAAGGGAACTACCCAGGGTGAAAGGGACCTACCCATTGTCACCACCATCAGGGAGGGGAGAAAACTCAGGATTCAGTGTTCTTTTTTTTTTTTTTTTATAATTTTTTTAAAAAAATTTATTTATTTGACAGAGATCACAAGCAGGCAGAGAGGCAGGCAGAGAGAGAGGAGGAAGCAGGCTCCTTGCCGAGCAGAGAGCCCGATGCGGGGCTTGATCCCAGAACCCTGGGATCAAGACCTGAGCCGAAGGCAGCGGCTTAACCCACTGAGCCACCCAGGCGCCCCAGGATTCAGTGTTCTTAAAGGGAAAACTCTGAGTGTCTTCTCCCCGACCACACGTTATGCCCTACTTATCTGCAACCTGAGACCAGATCAGGGCAAGGGAAAGGCAATAGCTGTATTTCTCAATAATAAATTTCACCAACTCATCACTGTAAAGCAAGATACAATAGGACAACAATGTTAGAAGGTATTTGTACAGAACCCATAGATAGGTATGAACTAAAAGCAAGGCTGTTCCGTATTCAACAACAGCCTGTCCCACACTAACTGCAAAGGAATGTGGACATTTTTTAACGGCTGTAGGTAAAGTACCCCGTACAACATGGGAAGGTAGGAAGGAAAGAGGCTTCAGATTCACCGAAGTTCTTTTATGCTATCTTCCGTGTCCTCATTTCTATGCCTCTTTATGTTGCTTACCCTTTGTAAATGGTAGAATGTTTTTCTCGTTAATTTTTTAAAAGATTTTATGTATTTATTTGACAGACAGAGATCACAAGCAGGCAGAGAGACAGGCGGGGAAGCAGGCTCCCCACTGAGCTGGGAGCCTGATGTGGGGCTCGATCCCAGGACCCTGAGACCATGACCTGAGCCAAAGGCAGAGGCTTAACCCACTGAGCCACCCAGGCGCCCCTAGAATGTTATTTTTAAGGCAATAGCCACCTCATGCTCACTTGCTCTCTCTCTCTCTTTCACAAATAAAATAAAATAAAATAAAACAAAATAAAATAAAAAACCCTGCATGAATTAGCTTCACTAATGGTTGCCAAACGCAGTATTTTTTCGTTAAGTAGAACATTGAAATAGATTTTAGAAATCAGAAGGCATCTCACCAAATAAACATGACAAAGTTATCACATAATGAAAAAATTTAAATGGCCTTTTATCCATTTACCACAATTAATCTAGCCGTTTCCTCGTGGACAAGCCCGGAACGGCTGATTGTAACCCGCCTGACTGCTCAACAGAAGGCCATGGGAGGCGTCGCCTTCCTACGCTCCCATCACAAAACAGGTAGAGGTGGTGCTGTTTCCCTGTCTTGGGTGTACCTGACGGTCTGTCCTCTTGTTCATGCTCTATTTAAGCCTACTGCAGGGAGGACTAGATTCCATTCACCTTATAAGCTCAAGAAGTACTTAACAGCGAACTTGAGAAGAGACAGAGCTGGAGGGAGAGGAGCCACGTGGTGAGGCACAGCTGCCCTGGGGGCCGAGGCGCAGAGTTGGTCAAGCCGCAGGAGGCGGTGGGCTGGGGCCAGTCCCATTACGTGGGCCCTGCTCCAAGTGGCAGCTGGTCATTTCCGTGGATGTCTAACCCACTTTTCCCTTGCTGGTTGGCAAAAGCAACAGTTCATAAATTTTTTCCTTTGTAAAATTACTGACTTAAAATTATACTTAAAAAAAAACAAACAAAAAAAATCCCCCAAATCTCCATTTAAATAAACATTCCACCCAAGCCAAACTGTTATTCTGTTAATGCCTGGAGGGCAGGCCAGGGAGCACCGGTGTCTGTGTGTGTGTCTAGCAGGTGAGGAGAGGAAGAGGAGAAAGGAATTCAGAGGAAGAACTTTTCACTTCTCACTTTATAAACTTTGGGGCTGCTTGGATTTTTTTTTCCCCACGGAGCTAGTGTTTGTAACTGTTTTAACCCATAAAAAATGTTCGAAGAGCAAACATCTACCTTCTCAAAACAAAAACACGAGCCTTATCATCCTTGACTTACTCTTGCCCAGCTCCTAGACTGCTGCCCTCCAGCTCCACAGGACTTTTTAACAACGTTTCTGAATCATTTATAAACATTGTGATTCATAGTTATATTTATCTGACTTTTTAAAGGCTAGTCATTAAGCCTGCGGGTCCAAGCCTGCTGTCCAGGCCCATTAGGCTTCCGGTTGGTCCTTTACTCACCGGGTCAGTCCTTCCCTCACCCGGGAACACGTCAGATTTCCTGGAATGGTTTAAACTGGAGGTGTGCTTTGGTGGTGAGGCAAAGGGAGGGCCACGTTACAATGGGCGGGACTTGGCAGAGAGGAAAAAAGGAAGAACAAAGGAAGCCAGCCGATTATATATGATTATATATTGTCTTGCGTTCAACCAACCCAGGGCTGGACAGGGGTGGGGGCTAGGATATTAAAAAGAAACTTGCGGGTGCCTGGGTGGCTCAGTGGGTTAAGGCCTCTGCCTTCAGCTTGGGTCGTGGTCCTCGGGCACCGCATCAGGCTCTTTGCTCAGCAGGGAGCCTGTTTCCCTTTCTCTCTCTCTGCCTGCTTCTCTGCCTACTTGTGATCTCCATCTGACAAATAAATAAATAACATCTTAAAAAGAAAAAAAAAAAGAAACTTGCCTTGGCAAGTAAATACCTCAACATTAAAAAAAAAGAGACAAGAATAGGGTAGTGTATTTAAATTATTCTGGGACCAGCATCTCTAAGAAAAAAGAAAAGACAAGTCATGGATAGATACTCTGAAACCAGGAAGAACACACAAAAGACCTCCCTTTTCTAATTAATTACTTATGGAGTTATATAGCCATAAAGCTATAAATATTTAGTCCATCATGCCTCTATGGACTGATTTCTGAAAAAAGAACTCATGAAAGTACAACAGGAAAGGGTTTTTTAAGTTAATACATTAAAAAAGAAAATTAAGCTATTATTTTTACTACACAGTTTTTATGCCATCATATAAAATATCTCATCACAAATTATAATTGGTTTTATCTTACAGGAACTCAAGCTCTTTTTAAAAAAGATTTTACTTATTTCTTTAAAGATTTTATTTTATTTATTTGACAGAGAGAGAGAGACAGCAAGACTCAAACATGGAGAGTGGGAGAGGGGGAAGCAGGTCTCCTGATGAGCAGGGAGCCCGATGTGGGGCTCGATCCCAGGACCTGAGCTCATGATCTGAGCTGAAGGCAGACACTTTACCGACCGAGCCACCGAGCAAGCCACCCGGGTGGCCCTGGAGCTAGCGCTCTTCATAGTAATCACATTGTATGAATATTCCTTAAGTCATTACATAAAATACAACTGCTCCCCACAATTCCAAAGAGCCTGCCTGCCTCATTGGTTCATTCCCTGGAAAAAGAAGCGGCAGAGGAACAGGCGAACTGGTTGCAGGGGGTCAGCAACAACGGAGAGCTGGGCCAGGGCTGCTTGGGGGTGCCCTGCGGCACGTGGCCTGGCCAAGGCCCACGGGCGCTAAAGTGCAGGCCTTGCTGGGTTTCCAAATCCTGAGGCTCCCTAGGGATCCTTTTATGATTTCGATTTATTTTACTTCACAGAAGGGCACCTCGGCCCCCTGTGGGGCTGTGTCCAAGGGGACACGCACCAAAGCCCCACGGAGGCTGCTACCAGACAGGGTAGAAGATACGTCTCGCCAGAAGCAGCCACTGCAGCCCAGCTCTGCAGACAGAAAAAGAAGGACTTTCTTTTTATAAGCCTCTGAAATGGCCACTAAAATTCATACAAAGATCACTCACCAAGGCCTTGTGAGGCCAGGGACCCCGGGAGCCAGGCTGCAGGACTGCACTGGACATGCGCCCAGGCTGTAAGGAGGGCGCCTCACCCCTAACAACAGCTCCGCTCCTGATGGGGCATGGGGGGACCCGCAGCCCGCAGTCCCCTTCTATCACAAGCTTGTCACAGTGAGACTCCTCTGAGCTGCTGGCTATCAGAAGGTGATAAAGGGTGAAGACGACCGTCTCGAATCCTCCATCCTGACTGCCATCAGCACCGTGGCCTGAGGTCCCCGACACAGCTCCACAGAACAGTCACTGAACGGAAAATAATTCATTTTCCCTGTTCGCCTGATTATGAAGATTTAACTCTCTGTAACTCATAGCCAGCCTCTCGTTCTACTTGATGTCAAAGCAAACATGAAGGAAAAAGGGGGAAAAGACCTGTGAAACCACAGGGTCACTCCCACCCCTGACGAGAGAAGACACACTTACCGAATAAAACTCAGATGAACGCCGAGGGACCGGTGCGACCCCGAGCAGTCGATGCAGAGAAACACCCCGTAGGTCACGCTTGCCCAGCTGGGGTTCTTGGCACCACAGTCAAAACACACCTGAAAGAAAATTTCAAAATTCAGTTATTAATTCCTACTAGCCAAAGGGGCATCTCACAGGATACAATATAGGGTTTAGCTTGAAAGTGACTTTACCTTTACACTTTTAAACCGGTTATTACAAAATTATCTCCCCTAGGGGCGCCTGGGTGGCTTAGTCGGTTAAGTGTCTGTCTTCCGCTCAGGTCATGATCCCAGCGTCCAGGGATCGAGCCCCGCATTGGGCTCCCTGCTCGCTCAGGGTGGCGGGGGAGCCTGCTTCTCTTTCTCCCACTGACCCGCCTCCCTGCTCATGCTCTCTTTCTCTCAAATAAATAAAATCTTTAAAAAAAATCTCAACTACAGGGGCACTTGGGTGGCTCAATGGGTTAAGCCTCTGCCTTCCGCTCAGGTCATGATCTCAGGATCCTGGGATCGAGCCCGCATCGGGCTCTCTGCTCGGCAGGGAGCCTGCTTCTCCCTCTCTCTGCCTGCCCCTCTGCCTACTTGTGATCTCTCTGTGAAATAAATAAATAAAATCTTTAAAAAAAAAAATCTCAACTACATTTTTCTCAACCTTAACTTTCACTTCTTTTATTATCATATTGTGTATCATTGTATTATATTAATTAGGCACCAACAGGGCTCCTAGCAGGCTCCCGCACACCAGCCAGGATGTCCCCTGCTGGGAAGGCTCAGGGCCTTGTGGCCCTCCAGATGGTGGCAGCGGTCATGCATACGCCTTCTGCCCCAGCCAGACAAGCCGGCAGGTCGCTTGTGCAGGGTGGTCTGTGACCAATAATAAGACAGATGTGCCAACAGGTCATTTCTTTTTTTCTTTTTTTCTTAACATACACCAATGGGTCATTTCTGAGGTTACGAAAGATGCTCTGGCGTCCTCTCTGCCTCTTGCTCTCTCTCTCTCCCGGGGACCTCTGGCTCTGGGGGAAGCTGGCCCCGTGTCTGCGGGACTTGCGAGCCGCCCAGTGGACAGCCTCCAGTGGTGAGGAACCGAGGCCACGAGTCCAACAGCCAGTGAGGCGCGGAGGCCGGCTGAGCGCCACAGGAGCGAGCCTGGGAGCGGGAGCTGCAGGCCTCAGAGAGGGCAGCCCCAGCCGCCAGCTTGACGGCAACGTCATGGGACCCAGCGCCTTCCTCCCTCAACACTGACTGAAGTCAAACATTCTTCTTCAGATAGCATCTGGCAACAGGAGCATAAAATGACTTTAAAATATACAGAGTTTGTCATGGAAATCAACATTTAGATTTAATTGAGGTCAGAAAATTCCACTAATAAGAGAATATTTCCTTTTTTTCCAGAAAAAGAGCCCCGTATTTTATTTTATTTGTTTTATTTATTTGACACAGAGAGAGATACAGTGAGAGAGGGAACACAGCAGGGGGAGAGGGAGAAGCAGGCTCCCCACAGAACAGGAAGCCCGATGCGGGGCTCAATCCCAGGACCCTGGGATCATGACTCGAGCCAAAGGCAGACGCTTAACAACGGAGCCACCCAGGCGCCCCAAGAGCCCCATATTTTAGATACACTTTACAGACAGAGCCACCTATGAAAAGCTTGTTCCATCTCTAGTCATCAAGAAAGATCTGGCTTCTGGCCCCTTGAGGGCAATGCCAAAGTGAAAACATAAGCCGATTGTCCAAAGCCCCTCACCGTGACGGGCTCGCATTAAGCACGTGAGGCTGCAGAGACAACAGCCATGGAAGGTGCCAATCCCTTCCCTTTGGTGTTTATCGATCACCTGCTGCATGCCAGTCGCTAGGGCAGGCACTGAGCTATTCAGAACTATCTGGCCTCACCGAGTCCACAAATACTTGCTGAGTCTCTACCCCTGCCAGGCCGTGTGCTGGCCTTTCTGGAGCTCACTGCACCATGGGAGGGGAGGACACAGAAATGAGGATGCTCTATGCACGTAGGGCAAGGAATCCCCTTCCATGGAACACCAAACAGTGTCATCAACTCCGCACATGTGCTGTCCCTCGGCAAGAGGCCACCCGTAGCCCCCCCCTCACTCAACTCACAGTTGTGCGCTTACTACCAAGAAAGTAAGGAAAAAGAAATGCCTCTGCTTAACAATTTGCTCTGCCTAATGACGAGAGTGAATACTAGAGAGAGAGACAGCAGCTAATGCTGAGTGTGTCCCCATCAGGCATTGCTACTGACCCACCGAACCATCATAACATCCCTCTAAGGAGGTATGATGCCTGTCCCCATCGAGGCCAGCTTCTGGGCATGCGCGTGACCTGTGCAGCTGCCCGGGGCCCCACACTTAGAAAAGCCCCTGTTTGCTTAATGCTCCGCGGTCTCATCTGGACATTCTCAACACTTTTTAAACAAGGGCCCTGCGTTTTCAGCTCGCACATTTTGTATTCTCTGCAAATTCCGCAGTGCAGTTCTCCACCCCATTTTAGAGAAAACGAAGGACTTGGGAAGTTAAGCATCACCGCTGAGGAGTGGTATGTTGGGGACGAGACCCCAGGTGGCGAGCCCCAGGGCTCAATCTTCCCCCCTCACCACATGGCCTCTCACAAGGCTTGGCTGGCCCTGTTGGCCGATGTCAGTCTCCCACGCCCTAGACTCACAGCTCCCCAAGGGCAGGAGCAGAGCTGGTCTCCTTCTCCGTCTCCCTCTGCACCGTGCCCAGCAGACTACAGCTGCCCAACGGATGCTTGCTGACAGAGTAACTCAAGCAATCAAGCAATAAAACGAAGGAACACATAGAGACCAGGAAGGATTTCTCAAACTAGAGCATTCACCCTTCTGGGTTAAAACCTTGGTCCAGAGTAAACACTCATCACTCATGAGATGAAGAACCCAGATAACAGAGACTAAAAGTAAACCCAGTTGTTTCTCTTGAAGTTCCTTCCCTCCATATCTTACAGCAGTCTTTCATAGCCCCTTCTGGAAAAGGCTTCCTGTTCCCCAAGAATTCCCCAAACTCTTCCATATTTTAAAGCTAGTTTTCATCCCTGCTTAGGTAATGGTTTCTTACTTACAGTCAGATGAAAATTCTTAATCAAGAAATGTAGCACAAAACTGTGGAGCATTACTGGCAAATATCTTTGCCCCATGCTTTTGTTAATCCTATTACGGAATATAAAATTTTCCAGAGGGGTGCTGTTTGTCATAAAGATCGTAACAAAAAAATGGCTGACGTTGAAGATTAACAAGTGTGGGTACTGTTCTAAGTGCTTCTCCTGGATTTTCTAATTTAATCCTCCTAATAACACTGAGTTAGATCCTGCTCAAGCCTCCCAGGGGAGGAAAGAAGGTACAAAGTAGTCAAGTAACCTGCCCAAGGTAACATACTCACCCCTCACAAGCCTCTCAGAAGTGTTATAAGTACAACGACTTCTTATTTAAAAGAGGACACCTTCCCTTTGATGAATTTAAAGAGAATGCTCATTGGTTCTGAGATAAAGCAGACAAAAAATAGAACCTCTACACTCCTAACAGCAGATCCTAATCTCGTCTAGCTATACAGCAACCACTCCCTATAAACCCGTTAATCTAAACTTGCAAATCAAGAGAACAGCAAAGGAATTAGCACTAGAGAGTTCCTGAAGACTTTCTCCTCCTGACTTTCTCACACTCATCAGACATCACCTCCAATAAACTCTTTCCTTGCTCACTCCTCCTAGTCTGTAAAAATATGGGCTCCTTTCCACCAAGACTTAAAGACATCTAGATTTCATAAAACTCAGGATCTTTCTATGCGGTGATGTCATGACTCATGACCATGATCATTAACAGCTGTTCACTTTGGAGGTGATAGTGGGGACCAGAGGAGCTCCTGTCATGGGAGGGGATGGGAGAGTCCACACGGACACACGGACAGCCCTTTGCACTCTCCAGGTTCCAGCCTGACCTGTGAACCTCAGTGGAGGGTGTCACTTTAGCCCAATGTGTCATCACAACATCTCCAGCCAGTTGTGAAAAGTTGTGTAAGTCACAGAGGAGAAAACCACCTCTGGAGACAAAGGGAAAAAAAAAAAAGGGAAGATCCCATCTCCACAAGAGACCCAAAGGGAAGACAGAGAAAGGGTCTGCGGGGGGCCTTCTTAGCAAGAGAAAAGAGCTGGAAGCCATTGCAGAGACTTAGTCGCTCCATCAGACAGGGAAACTGAGGCTGCCATCAAAGGGCGTAGGGGACCAACCAGGCTCCAAAAGGCACCCCTGAGGAACTTCGGAGGTCAGCTCCAGGATGCGGAGTCGAGCTTTCCCAAGAGCCCAGAGCTACCAGCTGGAGTTTCAGGGCTGGTGCGTGCTTCCCAGCTGGTCACAGGTGGCCTGCGGTGTCGCCCCGCTCACAGGAGCCCCTGGGTATGCACCCCAGTCCTCTGGGGGGGAGGGTCCCCGAGCCCGCCTCCAGCTCTCACAGGAACTCACGGGGTCCACTCTGCCACCCCTCAAAAGCCGCCCCCGTGTGTGCTTGTCCGCCCGGTATCAGGAACCAAAAATGTGTGCCCCGGCCCCCGGGGCCCCCAGATGCTGTCGCCTCCCGCTCCCAGGACCCCCAGGTGCCCGCCCCGCCGGGGACCCCCGTGTACGCCCCGTTCCCCACTCCTTGCTGAGGCTGGGGGCGGCGCGCGGCCCAGACCCAGGCGAGGCCCAGGCGCCGCGGCCGCAAGTGCGACGTGTCACAGGCCGGGCCGGCTCCTCCTCCCGCGGCCGCGGCCACTGCCGCAGCGGGGGCCGCCCGCGGGGTTCGGCACCGATGTCCAGCAAGCCTGAACACGCCCGGGGGCCGTTACCTTGTTGGTGGGCACCGAGCGGAGGCGCTTGAAGATGGTCAGTATGTCCTGCTTGCTGGGGTCCCCCATGGTCACCAGAGAAACGAGGCGCAGCCGGCCCGGCCAACTGGGAAGAGCCGAACAGGAGCGGTTGCCGCCTCCTGGAGACAGAGAACGGCCGAGGGGGCGGGGCTGCGCGTGACGGCAAGACCCCGCCCCTCCAGGCCCCGCCCCGGCCCCGCCCACAACCGGAGCTCACGCCCCGCACTCTTCTCGCGGCCCTCGCTCAGGGGCGCCGCTGGCTCCGCCCGCTGGAGCCCCCGCCCCGGCGCTGCCCGCGCGTGCGCAGAAGCCTCGCGCTATTTCTCCCGAGGGCGGCTCCGGGTTTGCTAGGATCTGTGCGGGGCTGAAGCCGGGGCTTGGCTCCCGGGCCGGACTCGCCACCACTTGGGCTGGTCGATGTCCACTTTTATCGACGGACTCCTTGCTTGGCCAAAGTCTTCTCACCTCGTCCTCGTGCCCCGTGAGGGCGCGGAACCAGTCGCTCCAGGTGGCGGAAGAGGAAAGGTGAGGGGAAGGACCCAGCCGCTCCGGACGCCCGATTTTCACTGGTCGCCTTTTGTTTCATTTTGTTTGCATTAAGCCGAGGCCGAGCCCTGGGTGGGAAGTTTTCACCGCCCGAGGTAGCTGTGTGGGTATCAGATCGGCGAGAGAGAGCAGTTCTCTGGAGGCTCGGTCCGAGCTGGTGGATGCGGACCGGAAAGCAGCGGGACATTCCCGGGCTGCGGGACCTGTGGCTGACGTTGCAGAAGGGTTCAGACTCGCGGAGGAAGGTGCCTCTCGTACGGCCGTGGGTGCAGAGCCGCTGGCCTCCTGGGATTGGGTGGTGCCGTGCTAGGAGAACAGGTTTACCTTGGCTCCAAGCCCGATTCAGCCGGCTGCTTCCTGGCTCTGTGACCTTGGTCAAGTCATTTCTCCTCTCCCAAACCTGGCTTGCTCGTCCGTACAATGGGGCTAGAGATAAAGGATCCTTGCCAAGCAGCCTGTGGGAGCAGCTTCCCCGCGGGAGCCCCAGAAAAGCCTTTGTGCCTTTCTGCTTTTAGAAGCTGGGAATGCCCCTTCAGCGGGTCAGGTTAGATGCCGTCTGGAGAAGTCGGAGGTTTGCAAGGATGTGGGCTCCGATAAACCCAGGGCTGGAACTTTTCCAAGGAAGGGAAATGTAGTGCCTAACAGAACAGTAAGTTAACTTTTGCAGTCTGCTGTGACTGAAAGTTCTTCCTTCCATCAAGTCAAAGTACATATTCTTGTACTCTGTGTCCCATCATACTGATGCAGGCTGGCCTCTCCGAGGACCCGGAGGGAGTCCCTCAGGACCAAACAAGAGGGTCTTTGGTTTTGTGTAGGACAGAAATCAAATGCGAACTGAGAGGAAGTGAGAGCATAGTATATTAAATAGCATATCTGATAGAGCATAGCGAACCGAGCGTCTGGGAGACTCAGGAAGGAAAGGAGAGAGTCCTTTGCTCAGGGTTGGGGTTTTTATTGAAGATCACGGTCTGGTGTACATGTCTCAGGCATCCCAGAACGGGTCAAAACAAGGACAAGTGCGCAGATGTCCTCCATAAGTCACTTACGCCCTGGAGCCAGGGATGTTGGCATCAAGGTAGCTGGAGTCTGGGGTCTTGGAAAGCCTGCGTGATGAGCCCTCCCTGATGTTTGTTACCTGTTGTGCTGGACGACTCCAAAGAGATGGTTAACTCCTTGACCGTGACGAAGAGGACTTACATTAAGGCAGGGAGAAGGCAAGGGTACAGGTCCTAGCAAGAACAGAAGCAGGAAAAGGAGCAAAAAAGCAGTTTTGGGGTTTTTTTTTTCCTGGGGCCCCTTTAGTTTCCCTTTCTCAGTGCAGGTTGGCCCCACATAGGACACCTGGCATGTTTATGAACAGTTAGAGCCTTCCTGATGGGAACGATGATTACTGTTTGGAGCTGAAATCTTACTTACCAAGTTCCGTATCAGATTCTGAGTGTTATATACTCTACGCTACAACATAAAGGTCCCCACGTGATGAGGGAGCAGAAGGCAAGCTGAGGACACAGCACAAGCTGATACCCACAACCCCCATCCCTCATGTGTATCGTGAGATTTGTGTGGCATCCCTCAGGCCCTCCTAGCTGCCCCAAAACTAAGGGAATGGGGAAAAAAAATGGTTACCTGATCAAGCTCACAGTCCTACAAGACAGGGGTTTCCATCAGTTTAGCAACATCTTAGTGATACACAGGAGGAAGCATTCTTATCCATAGCCTAACTCCCAGAAACCCGTAGCTCAATTTCCTGGAGCCCTAACATCACCCTCCCATGAGTGACATGGGAAACAGGCAGAAGGAAATGAAAACAAAGTTTCTTTAGGACCGGCAGCCTACCGACAAGGACTTGTGATAGGAAGAGTATTATTCCTCCAGGAAGCTCCCACCTGTCCTAATGTCAGTGCTGTACTGGAAGGAAAAACCACTTTAACTCAGCAATCGCCAGGCCTCCATTATCATATAAATCTTTAGTCTATCAGAGTCCTTTCGGGATACCTGCCTTTTCCTGACTACCCCCCCCACCCCGCTCCTGATGAAGTTTTAGAGTATAAGTGAGGTTGGTGGGGGGAGGTCCGGAGCCAATGACCAAGAAAGAAATCTTGAGACATCTTTGGTGCAAAATAGCGGTTTATTAAAGCATGGAGACAGGACCCATGGGCAGGGAGAGCTGCTGCCTCGGGGTTGTGAGGGGTGGCAGGTTCTGTACGATGGGATTGGGGGAGGTAACAAAAAAGGGAGGTTTCAACAACTTTCATATGCTAAAGAGGACCTACAAGATACGGATACCGGGGGCCTTGCTATTGCCAAGGTCATTTTTCCCTTCTTAGCAAGGTATTAACATTAAGATAGTTGGGAGGTTCCTAAAGGATGTCATAATATGTCCCACCCAGGAGTGGGGGTGGGGGAAGGTTGCAGGGTGTCAGTTTCTGCTTTGTCCTCAGCCAGCCTTCTGTTCCCTCCCCACTCCCACGTGTCTAATCAGCCATTGCTCACAGCCCTGGGGCAGCAGCCCTTCGTTCCCAGGGGTCTTGTCCCAGTGTTTTAATAAAATCATCTTTTTATACCAGAACCTTCTCGAATTCTTTCTTGGACCTCGGCTCCAGACCTCACCAACATTCCCAAACAACATCACAAAGAGGGAAATTTTGTGCAGTGAAGTCCAGACAGTGTCTCTGGGAGAAGTACGGTTTGTATGCACAGCCGAGGCTCATCTCTTGTCCTTCGTAGGCCTTACTACCACCTAATACTACCATATGTAATACTATCTATTTCCTCCCTTCCATTGAATGTGAATGTACCGAGATCAGATCTGTTTTGTCTGTCCCTGTCCCCAGCACCTGGACCAGGCCTGGTGCGTAGTGTTCATTCAAGAAGGATGTGTGGCTTAGGCTTCGAATGTGGGAAGCTACAAAGAGCATCACCCTCCCCATATGATGACAAGAACAGACGGTTTAAGCTACAAAATCGTAACATTTCTTTTTCTTTTTTCCTTTTTTTTTTTTTTTAAAGATTTTATTTATTTATTTGACAGAGAGATCACTATTAGGTAGAGAGGCAGGCAGAGAGAGGGGAAGGGAAGCAGGCTCCCCACTGAGCAGAGAGTCCGATGCGGGGCTCGATCCCAGGACCCTGAGATCATGACCCAAGCCCAAGGCAGAGGCGGAACCCACTGAGCCACCCAGGCGCCCTATCCTAGGGTTTCTTAAGCCTATCAGATGGGTAAAGTTGCAGATCAACCAAGTAAACCGAATTCTGAAGGGAAACGAGCTTCCCCAAAGTTAGATGGAACAAAGGAACTCCTTCCCCTTTGGTAAAGCTTAGGAGAAAGGTGGCAAGAGGAAATAAGTTAAAATGTTTAATGAATTCATAAAGGCCAAGCGTGGGCTGGCATGTCCGTTTGAAATAGCTTGAGGCCTCAGATACAAAGAGAGGTTATATTCCACAAGCTATTTTCCATAAGCTTCCACCAGAAATCTTTCTTCATAAGAAAGATGGAGGCAAAGAGACTTGAGAGAAACCCCTTGGGGAGTTGGGCATCCAACTGTTGCGGGGAGAGGCACAAAACCCCACCCACATCCCTTCTGGAAAACAAGCAGCAAATGCACTGTCCCCCAGGGTTCAGGAAAAGATGCATTCCTGCCTGGAGAGGAGTAGAAGCAAAACCCAGGTAATACCAAATCTGAAAGAGAATGAGAACTTCTCCTGCAAAAGAGGACAGGCAAAAATCCACTGCTCCAGATTTCAGAATAACAATACAGAAGCAGCCGTGAGGCAGGTCCAGACTGCTGTATACTGTCCTCTCTTTGAGGAAGACATCCTGGTGTGCCTCTGGCCCTGTGAAACAGCGTTTAGTCCGTTTAGTTCATTCAGTGAAATAGGAATTTGCTGAAACGCCGATGCCACTCTCAGGAAAAACTAGACTTTTCTGGACAGTCATATGATGAATCACAAAGTGTAAATAGGCACAGATCTTGTTCCTTGTCCCTGGAGGACGCCAGTGAACTTCAGTTAGTGCAGAAGAGAAGACACGGGAACGCTATCCCTTACGCCGTTTCTTACAGGTCAGGTACATTTGACCATGAACAGATGGGGCGCCTGTGGTGGCTCAGTCGGTCAAGCATCTGCCTTCAGCTCAGGTCATGATCCTGGAGTACCGGGAGGCTGTTTCTCCCTCTCCCCTCACCCTGCTTGTGCTCTCTCTCCCTTGCTCACTCGCTCGCTCTCAAATAAATAAACTTAAAAAAGGAAAAGGAAAATGCATGGAATCCTGAGCACTACTATCTGGTTTCCACAAACCCCTTTACTGCTGAGGCAGTATACACTTGGAAATTCACAAATGCCCCATTTTAGACGGTAAAATATTTAAATAAAGACGCTTGTGATTGAGTTGATGTTATTGATTGATTTTTTAAAAATGTACATTGATGCCATTACTTCCATTAATGGGATAAAGGATTTGGTGTAATAATTGCTCATTGCTGTAATATTTGCAATATTAAAATATTAGCAAAAATAATTGCAAAAGGAAATGAAAACTTACATTTATACAAAAACATGTACCTGAATGTTCATAACAAAAGTGTTTGTAATCATCAAAACCCAGAAACAACCCAAATATCCTTCAACTGGATTAGCAAACATGGTGAATTCAATACCCAGAGACCACCTACGGTAAGAAGGAACAGACTACTGCTGCGTGAAACCACATGGATGAATTTCAAATTAATTATGTGACCCAAAAGAAGGGAAGACAAAGGCTGCATACTGTATGATTCCATTCACAGGACATTATGGAAAAGGCAAAACTATAGAAACAGAACAGATTAGCAGTTTCCCAGGGTCAAGGATATAAGGAAAGGTTGAATTACGGAGAAGCCAGGACATACTTGGGCAGCGATGGAACAGTTCTATTTCTTGATTGTGGTGGTGGTTGCACGGCAACGTGTTTGTCAAAACTTGACTGTAGGGGTGCCTGGGTGGCTCAGTGGGTTGAGCCTCTGCCTTCCGCTCAGGTCATGATCTCAGGGTCCTAGGATCGAGCCCCGCATCGGGCTCTCTGCTTGGTGGGGAGCCTGCTCCCCTCCCCCCCGCCACCCCGCCTGCCTCTCTCTCTGCCTACTTGTGATCTCTGTCAAATAAATAAATAAAATCTTTTTAAAAAAATGACTGTACACTAAATAGGGTGCATTTTACTGTATGTAAATTATATCTATAAAATGAAAAAAAAAAACGGGAAACAAACGCTCAGGGATATGGGACTTACGACCCATGGAATATCCTGCCGCCGTTAAACATTCTATTTTTAAGTTAAGCATATTTAGGGACGTGAGAAAATGCCCGCGAAATGGTAAAGAAGCAGGGTCCCACACCACATTTACAGTAGGAGCCCAGTTCTGCAAAACACACACCTCGTTGACAACCGCAAGAGAATACGTGCCCTACACCTGTGTACGGATGGGAAAAAAGACCAGAAAAACTAACCCGGAGTATCAGCAGTGTTGCCCCTGGACACCCGGACCATGGGGGCTTTGTTTTTCAGAATACTTCTGCTTAGTTTGCAAATTTCCATCTCAACCTTTGTTCCCTTTACAATTAAGTGAAAACTATTAACATTGTTATTGGAAAATGCTCGGGAGGGGCAGGAGAGGCCAGGCTGTCTTGACCTTGACCGGTTGACCTGGAGGTGTCCTGATGGGCGGGGTGGCTTACAGTCAGCTTTGTTTGCCGTGCTGACTGATTGTCGCCTGGCTCAGGGCTGTTTGTCTTGTCACCTCCCCGAGGGCCACACGGGGCCACGCCGAGTCTGCCCATCAGTTATGCTTTGCTCCAAGAGAGCCCCGTTAGTTACGCCGTTCATCTGTTCCTCCGTCCCTTCCCTTGTTCATTTCCTAGTCCTTCCCACAAAGGACTTGAACATGTCTGAAACCGTATAATCTGAATTTCATCGGATGGGCCAAAATGGATTTCATTTTATCTTTTCCATCTAGCTCCAGGAGCACCAAAGAGAGGAGGTCTGGGACTAGAGGGGACGGGCGGCTCCCCAAACCGAGGAGTTTGCTGTTCAGTGGGAGGGACAGGCGTGCGGCCAGTGACGGCACGGTCGGACCGGTGCTGCCGAGGAGGGCCCTTCAGGGCTGGTGGCTCCCTAGTGAGGACCTACAGCCCTGGTAGGTGTCCCTGACCCAGCGCAGACCACGGCGGACATCCTCGTCCTTGCAGTCCAACGGCGCAGCCTAGTGGGCAGGGCCTGTACTGCACCCTCTGCGTCTGAATGCGCGCTCGGCCGCCTGGCGGCTGTCGCTCCTTGGGCAAGTTACCTAACCTCTCTGTGCCTCAAACGCCTTGCCTGTAAAACTGGGAGTGATAACGTTTACCTGTTCATGGGGCCGCTGTGAGAATCCAGAAAGTTAATAAACGTTGAAGGGTTTAGGACAGGGTCTGGCACATCTGAAACAACAAATGTTAACCGCCCTTATTCCGTCAGGCCCACGCAGCTCATTAAGGTCACACAGTTGGAGTCCAGTCTGAGTGCAGGGAACAGGACTTCACAGTCCGTGCTTTCAACCATCGACTTCATTTTTACACCTTTGTAAGACTGTTGTTGAGTTTCAGAGAAGAAAAACCTCTTCTGTCAGATTCTGCTGTGGAAACCCCAGCCTCCCCGCATAGTTTCATACATGAGTCTGTGGCTTGGAGGCGTTTGTGCCGGGTGACTGGTTGGGGGAGGATTTGGAGTCTCCGAGGCCAGCCCTTGGGGTTAGACTACCTCCATACCACCGTTTTCCAGATTTGTGTTTTATCAAGCACTCTCACACTCCAGACCGCAGAGGATCATGAAAGAGAAAAGATAAGACCCACTTCCCCCTCCTCCAGATGAGGAAACCAAGGGTCAGGGAGAGGGAGGGGCTTACCCGAGGACAGGCAGCTCGTCGGTGACACGGGCGCCCGTCTGACCCTGGTGGGACACCGCTCCCTCTGCCACCGGCTGCCACTGCACCTTGCCTGCCCCTTGTCTGGGAATCATAGGAATGGCCCGGGATGGGATGTCACATTGGCCTGTGTCCCTTGCTTCCTGGGCTCTCTTTGG